TTATTTTCTAAAATTTATATTCAAAATTAATTATCCAAATTTTCAATCAAAAATGAACTTAAATTAAATTATTATCCAAAATTTTCAATTCAGAATGAACTGAAATTCAATTATTTTCCAAATTTAAAATCAAAATAAAATTTAATTATTCTCAAAAATTTGAATTCAAAATTAATTGAATTTTCAATAATTTGAATTTAAAAGCATCCAAAATTTAATTATTTCTAAAATTTTCCATCGAAATTTTATTTTTTGAAATTTAATAATTTCAATTATAACTCTAAGGAAATTCAATTATTTTTAACTATTTTAATAATATTCTTTGAAAATTCAACTATCTGAAACGATTTTTCAATTAAAAATGATTTTCAAATTATTGTATTTTGTCCGCATTTTCTAATAAATTTTTAGTGAAATCATCTAAAATTTTAATTCACAATCAGTTAAAATTCAAAAATTATCCAAAATTTTCAATTTAAATTTTAATTATATACCAAGTTTTCAATTTAAAATGAAATAAAATTCAATTATTTTCTAAAATTTATATTCAAAATTAATTATCCAAATTTTCAATCAAAAATGAACTTAAATTAAATTATTATCCAAAATTTCAAGTAAAATTCAATTATTTCCCAAAATTTTCAATTCAAAAAGAACTGAAATTCAATTATTTTCCAAATTTAAAATCAAATAAAATTTAATTATTCTCAAAAATTTGAATTCAAAATTAATTGAATTTTCAATAATTTGAATTTAAAAGCATCTAAAATTTAATTATTTCCAAAATTTTCCATTGAAAATTTTGTTTTTTTTGAAATTTAAGAATTTCAATTATAACTCTAAGGAAATTCAATTATTTTTAACTATTTTAATAATATTCTTTGAAAATTCAACTATCTGAAACCATTTTTCAATTAAAAATGATTTTCAAATTATTGTATTTTGTCCGCATTTTCTAATAAATTTTTAGTGAAATCATCTAAAATTTTAATTAAAAATCACTTAAAGTTGCAATTAATTTCAAAAATCTCTATTTTAAATCTTTGAAAATTCAATTAAATTTAAAAAATGTTTTCCAAAAATTGTTTGATAAATTATTTTTAGTTCTGTAAAATTTAATAATTGTTTGAAAATTAACAATATCTTTTGAAACTTAATTATTTCGAAAAATTTCAACTTTAACCCTTCGAAATGGATTATTATTAAAAAAAAATATTTTTATTTAAAAATGTGTAAAATATTTTTGTTGAAATAAAAAAGAAATCCACTTTTTTTGGAATATAAATCGACTAAAACGACTTTTTTTGTGTCTTTAAGTTGATTCGAGGCCTGTGTTTTTATAATTAATATTTAATAGGTATTCGTTGGCCCCTGGTACCTTAAAAATTAATTTTTCAAAATAAATTTTTTTCAAATTACTATCTTGTACGAAATTTCCAGGCGCATTTTTTTTCTCATCATAAATTTTTTGTATTTGTATAGAATTCTTGAATTAATATACAACTTTAAAAAAAATTTCGTTGGTAAACGTTGTGTACTTCAGCTTCGTGAATTGAATTTTCGAATTTGGAATTTTAAAGAAACTTATTCCGAAATTTGGAAACACAATTATACAACTTTGGCAAAAATGAGAAAAAGAATTGTCAAAATTTGACACGTCATAAGATTACTATTCAAAAAAACACGTAAAATCAGAAAAGGCCAACTTCAAGTTAGGACAGAAGGACAGACCAAGCATTTTATTATTATATAATTTTTATTATTTGTATTATTATTTGAAAAATTAAAGGAGATTCTTTTTTTTGCGAATAAATATTTTTTTACCATTTGAAATTGGTTTGTAGAGGGTTATAGATACGAAAAAAGTACAGACCTCGTTAATATAATAATCATAGAAAGTGAAAATGCGTTAAAGAGAGAAATTTCTAATTTGAATGTAACTTAATGATTTTTCACCCTAGGGTTTTTGGCGCAACTTGACGAGAAATCACCGAGATTATACTATATATGAAAATGTCTATTTATGCGTGTATGTATGCCTCTAATAAAAGGTGTACGCGTATAGTTTGACTGATACTTTTATATATACATCTCCTGCGGCACACACCTATACTGACAGTCGATAGAAACGTGAGAAATCGTAATTTCTTATTCAATCTACAATTTAATCTTCCAATTGCTCATGCAATTCACACACAATAAAGAATTTCCCAGAATTATGATCTATTTTGTGTTAATATTTATTACTTTAATAATAGAGTTGAATTCCCTAATGATATAAACATTTCCTTTATTTCTCAATAATATTTTTCATTTTTCAGAGACGATTCAATTAAGTATTATAATTTATTAAATGTCATCGATTTATTTTGTAATTATTTTCACGAAAAAATACTACTTTGATTTAATTTTAAAATAATAATTTTAAAAATGATTTTAAAAAAATAGTATTCGATGCAGTCAAGTACAATGTGAAAATTAAAAAAATCTATTTTATAATAAGAAATAATTGAAATTGTGTAAAATATTTAATCAATTGCAAATAAATTCGTCTGTGCAATAAAAAAATTTAAAAAAGAAATTCAAATTTTTGAAATAGATTCATATTGGAATAAGTAATATAAGAAAATAATTTAACAGATTTTTTATTTTAAAAAAATTATGAGAAAATATATTTCTAATTGCGATTTTGAAAATATCAACGTTTGATAAATTTATATTTTATATAATTTTTATTTTATACCATTTTACGACACTTTCCCTATTTTGAATTTAGATATGCGAAAGGAAAAAAAAAATTGCGCAAAATATTCCTCACGACAGAAATATCAACTTGGAATATAATGAAGTTGTATTTTCACTCTTTGACTTTAAGTGTGAAAAGTTGACGATATAAAATAAAGTTTCTGAAATTTCAAAGGATCAATTAACTGAGAATTTTTTTTTTTTCAAACAGGAAAGATGCGCCTGTCCCGATAAAAACTGAAATGTATTTGAACATCATTCAAGGAGGTGAAAACGGTTCTTACGAAGGAGGCTATAATTATTATTATTATTATTTTTATTATTATTATTAATTTTTTTTCAGGTACTTTTCTCTCTCCGCGTGAGCAAAATCACATAAGGAACCTGTCAAACTTTACGAACATAAAACATAAATTATATTTATATTTAAAATAATATTTTAACCGGAAAATTCGATTTTTAAGAAAAATTAAAAAACAATAATAATAAAAAAACAAATAAATTTAAAATATTTAAAATACTAGAAAGTATTGTAAAATATTAAAAAATAACTAATTATTCAAAAAAAAAAAAATTTTCAATTTTTTTGGAAAATAATTTAAATTAGTCAAAAATTGCATTTAATAAAATATATAGTACAAATTAAATGGATTTAAAAACATAAGTTATTAGGGCGAATATTTTTCAACTGATTTTGGTGAAAATGAAAATTCTAAAAAAAAATTCCCGTGTAATAAAGAAGAAAGTAATTGTTTATTTGCATATTTTTTTTTTTTTTCGTTTCACTTGGACCGGATTATCGATTTACTTTACGGATACTACATGCGAAAGAAGAAAGTTGTTCGCAATCTGCCTAAGGGCATTTGTCCTCTCCAAATTTGAATTTCATTATTTTTTCACTAACACGTGTCGAATCATTGCCCGATTGTATTTAAAATAGGAAAAAAAAAAAAAAAATTAACATAAGTCTAATTAGCATTTCTTTATAGCTACAACAGTTGCATGCAAAAATCAGTGTCAATATAATCTCAATTTCTTTCAATAAAGAAAAATTCAATTTTTCACTTTCTAAAGAAAAATTATAATTCTCGATATTAAAATATGTCTTTTCAAATTAATTATCTTCAATATAATTATAGAATGAAATTAAAGAAATTTTGCAATTTATTCAATTACTTATTTTAACTCTATAGTTACTATAATTAGACCAGAATTAGTTGATTGATAATTTTACAATTATAAATTTTCTATTAAAATTTATTTTATTTGTATAAAAAAAAATGAATTTTTTTTTTTATGGAAATTCCATTTATATAATGGAATTAAATTTCAATTAACCCAATTTCTTCGACAGTAAAAAAAAGAGAGAAAAAGTTTTGAATTATCGAAAGAAATTATTAAAATATTACCAAGGAATATATATATATTGACATTGAAAAACATAATGCTAATCAGACTATGGCAATTTTCACTTGCAACCGCATTGAATCCAATTTATTCAAATAGGCAATTACTTAATGTTGAGATATTTTCCTTTCCTTAGAAAGAAAATCAACAAACACGATAATCGTTTATTAAATTAGCATTAACACAATTTTATTCAGAATGATGATACTTTGTGGAATGTCTCCGAAAAAAAAAAACTTTCAGGTATCACACAAATCGATGACAATTCACGTTTTTTATTAACCCACTTTCGGGACGAGGAACTCGCTTTATATTCTTTATAAAATTTGACACTTATTATCATATTATCAAAATATAACGCAGATTATCCAAAAATTGTCAAAACAAAGAACAATCACACACTAACACTTTTTTTCAATTATTTATAAAATTACCATCACCTCAAGCGATAAAAAAAAAGAAATTATTTTTCGAAATAGAAATTACAAAAATTTTGCAAAACGTTTGAAAAATAAATTTTTCAATTAAAATTTTTAAAAATTAATATTACATGATAAATAATAAATAAAATTTTATCGATTATTATTTTGTAATTTTCTTTTTATCATTGTAATAGTAAATTTTGTTTTTAATTTTAATTATTATATTATTTCTATATATATTTTTTTAAAATAAAATAGTGTAAATAAATAATTAATACGATGTGTGTTGGTAGAAGAAAAAAATCGCAACAAGTTGAAAACGATCGATAGAGAAATACGGAAGAAGAAAAGAGGGAAAGTAAAATTAAAGTACGAAGCGATTATTGAGCATATGAAGTGAAAAAAAATGATGATTTCTGTACTCACCAAGCGCATGATGCTGTCTGTGCTCTCACCGAAGAGAATAACTGCTTTTACCAGAAGAAGATGATCTGGTCTGTGGCAGCAAAACAGAAAGCAAGAGGTGGGATCGCGTCCAAATAATGAAGGTGGTAAAGGTAAATGGCATAATACTTCGTACTTTCGTTCATCAGAAGACACTTTCTGTGAATGAGACCAAAAGATAGCTGGAAGCAATCCAAATTCCTTCTCCCTTATCTTCTTCTACCTTAAAAAAAAGAAATTATAAGAATCCCGCAACAATAGACACAATTGTTTTAAAAATTTGTCGATTTTATCAAGGTGATTAAAAATTTTTTTATTCAAATTTCCGGTTGATAAAAAGTGGGGAGAAATTTTTTTTTTAAGTTATTCACTTTAATTGTAAAATTATTTTAATTTTAATGGCCCGCCATTTATTATTTAATATTAAGAATTTCTAAAATAAAATTTTTTTTAAAAATCTGATTCGGCTTGTTTAAAATTCATTATATTTATATATTATTCAAAATTAACGATACTGAAGTACGCAATGTTTATATAAACGATTTTTAAAGAAATAATTTTTTAAAATGAAAAATTCTATAATTTTTTGCCTAAAAATTAATTTTGTATTAAATAAATAAATAAATAAATATTTCTTGTAGTTTTCATTAATCAACAAATTATATAAAAAAAATATTTTTTAGGCAAAAAATTATAGAATTTTTTATTTAAAAAAAATTATTTCTTTAAAAATCGTTTATATAAACGTTATGCGTACTTCAGCTTCGTAAAATTAAAAAGACAGAAAAAATATTTACCTATGAATCCTCTTGAAATTTCTTGCTTTATGAAATATTGTAACTGTGAACAAAAAAACTTTCAAACAAATATTTAAAAAGATTTATTATTTATATAAATATAAATTTACAATTTTTATAAAAAATACACTTATTTGGCAATAATTATAACTGTAAACAATTTTTTTAAAAAAAATTAATAATTGAAATAAGTTACGTACCTTAAATATTTCATATTTTTGTTTCATATCAAAAACTTTTAACATTTCTTCAAAATGTTTATACACTTTTTTAATTTTACACAAATTTTCACCCTAAATTTTCATAAATTTCTCGTTACTTTGGAAAAATCGATAGATATATTAGTTTTATATTTTTGAGCGCAAAATAAAAATGATTGATAAACTTTTCAAAATTAAATAAATATTAATGATCAATCAATTTTTCGATATGCACGTAAAATATTATGAAAGAAATATTAACAATAACAATTAATTAATAATGAACAAATATTAAGAAAAAAACAAGGAATTTCGGAATTCCGCAACGGAATTTCATTTTCGGGTTACAAACACGTGTTATTCGTTAACAATTAATGAAACGCGTTTTAGGTTATATTCATTATAATCCATGAATAAAAGTTAATGAAAATTTAATTAATCGTAAATACTTACTTTTAGGGATTAATTATTGATTATCACCTTGATCCTTTGTTTCCTTCCCTTTATTTTTGTCATCACAAGTCTAAATTTTCCATTATTGCTGATCATCTCAAGACGCCGGTAGAGCGGTCCACGTGAAAATTTCTTCATAACTTCCCAGCAGTTATTAATTTGTTTTTCTTGTAATAATTAAAGAGTAATTAGGCTCTAAACTGTTTGTAAAATGATAATCCTGATCTCATGTTGAAAAGAACAATTATTCACACAAAAGCAACTGAAATTTGCGACATATACAATCGTTAAGATTCCGATTCAAATAAGAAAAGAGACACCTGTCGGTAAAATATAACATCACTTACACTTTAAGCTCCCATGGTAATTCATAGGAGAGAAAGCCTCATAGTAATTTAAAGTAGGTATTTATTTTACCAACATGTGTCGGTAAATTATACTAATGTATCGATAAATAAAATATCTGTACTAAACGATATCTCGATTACGTCACACTGATTGCTCAATAATAACAATAACATACTAAAAAAAAATTAAATAGAGAAATATATTTAAAATCATCGAGAGATTAAGACATACGATATGTTTGATAAAATAATAAGATTTTTATATTAAAAAAATAGATTGTATTTTGTATTACACGTGTGAACCACGTGACCCAGTATATAAAAGCAAACATTATATCATCTTATCGGAGACGATTACTCGATTTGTCGAAAATAATCAATAAAACTCAGCATTTCATGATCTATTGCAGTTGCTTGAAGCAACAGGAAGTATATATGTATGGTAAATTATGAAAAGTCTATTTTCCAGCGATTCATACTTTGCTTTATGTTTCAGTCTTGCGAAATATGTCGAGTGCATCGCTCGAAAATTATCATTAAAGAAAATATTTGAACTAATCTATATATATATATATATATAGACCACAATTTATTTACGGAAATCAAATTAATATGTCATCTCGCAGTTTGATATCTGGCTTTACGTTTCGTTTTAGAAAAATTATTCATCAATTCAATGGACTTCATAATACGACAAAGGATATTGAACCAATTACATATGAACGAAGTCCAATTACTGAGAGGTAAATATAATGCAAATATCACCCGCAGACTACTAATTTATATAATGCGCGCCTTTTGTAAATTCTAATTAGGAAGGTTCGAGATATCATTTATCAAAGTTCAATATTTTTACATTGAATTTCGAAAATTTATTTTAAATCACGCAGTTGCTATTGTTTTTCATATTCTCTCAAAATGGATAATAGAATTATAAATTCCTAATTGTAATTAAATAAATTAAAAAATTTTTTTCAAATTAATTAAAATTAATCACGATTTACTTATTTTTCCTTGAGCTAAATAATGGTTTGTTTTTTTTGTATTATGAAAAATTTCAATGTTTTTATGCTTATTTAGAAATAAAATCCGATAAAGTTTTGGCTCATTAACAATACTTTGCTTTTAAGATTATATTATTCAGGTAGAATTTAAAGAAGATTATAAGTATTGTTAATCTACAAATTCCATAGAATTTTCCACTTTACGATTTCCTAACAATTCTCTAGTATTCTGTCAATTATTTTATGACACTTGAAATTTATTTTACAATATTCATTTCTAGCATATTTTATATATATATACCCAAATTGTCAAAGCTAATGAACGGAAAATTTTGAGTGAAAATTTCGACGCCAAAGTAAAAACGTCTTTTTTTCAAATATAATTATTAAAAATATATCTCTTACCTCATTCTTTTAGTTCTTGGAATAATTTATTGTGCGAAACATTTTGATTTTTATTAACAATTGAGGTTATGATTTTTTTTACTTTTATATAGAATATTACGCGATTAACAATGAGTAATATAAAAATCGCTAATTGCGTCATCCACTCTGGCGTTCGCAAATCAAGTAACCTTGAATTATTTTCAAGATCATGGGCCGTTTAGAATATTAATTACTTTACTAATTGTTAAAAGATAAGATGTTAAAGTGACAGTTTATTTTTTATTATTATTCTAATTTCTCCAACATTGGTAACACTGATAATCGCAAAAAAAAAAAATTCGTAGACAACTTCAAGTTTGACAATATTTTTTTTGACAGTGATGAAATTCAGCGAAATATTTCTGTTTCTTAAAATGTTTCCTAAAAAAAAAATTATTTACAATAAATCAATTATTTATTTATAAATATGAAAATTTAAATTACTTAGTGAAAAATGACAAATTTTGGCTGTGAAAAAAGTACCTACAAAATTGGATTTAGATAATTCTAACCTAAAATTAGTAACTATTTACTTTCTGATAATAATATATATGATAAAGGTGAGTAAATTGAGTATATAAAAGCAATGAGGTAATAATCTGACTATATTAATGATAGATAAATTTGAAAATAGGTTTAAAATTGAAATTTTACTCTTCGTAATGGATTTTCTTTTTTGGTGATGAAAAAATTGACATATGTAGATTTTAAATAACATTAGAATTTAATTTAATTAATGAAATTCATTATTAAAATTAAAATTTTGTCATAAAATTTTTAAAAATGCGCTTGCGCTCAGCTGATTCATTCCCTTCTCTATCTATTTTTCACCCTACCACGAGTAACACTCAGCTGGTTTCCTACCCTACCTCTTCAAGAGTATAACATCAGCAATTGTCGACTAACAGTCGCACTTGCATTTTCAGAGTTCCCGTTCCCGGTAACAGGTTGATTGACAGTGACCGTCAAGAACCGGGATTATCACCTTCAACGATGTCGAGCCTAGAACGAGATCAATTAGGATTACGTGGTCCAGGAGATTCTATTTCTTCGAGTCTCATTAGAGGAATTGATCACATCAGAAATCCTCAACTAAACAAGGTAAAACTTTTTTTTATTTTATTCATTTCTATATATATATATATATATATATATATATATATAATAGAAATTTTTCCTTCTATTATGTTAGTAAATATTTTCATTGACAACATATACAAATATTTAATTTTTGACTATATTTTCTATTAAATTTAGAATAATTTCCTTTACACAAGAATTTTGTTAGGAAAAATTTTTCCTCACTGATTTGATAGCAAATTATTTTTCTTATTGTGAAATTTTCCTCAAAATGGGTTTTAATTCTTTTAAAATTGGAATAAATTTTTATTTCAAAATTTTTCCAAAAAAAAAAAAATTGTACATTTTTTGAGTAATAAAACTTCTTTGAAATCGAATATCAAATTAATTGGTAAAGTTTTAGTAAAATTACTATATATTTTAGAAAACTTTCATTTCAATGGAAAATCGAAAGGGATTTAATGAGAAAGAAAATCAATTTTCAGTAGAATATGGTAAAAAAAATTGAGAATGTGCAATATTTTTTTTCAACTTCTATTCTATTCTAAATAGATGTTTTGTTGAATAAAACATGCATTTTTGAATATTATAAATTATTCGTAATTAGTATTGTGAATAAATTAAATGTCAATTTATAAAAAGTTAGAAGGGGAAAAAGAAGTTTAAAAAAAGGAAAACTATTTTTAAAAATTACTTTAATTTCTTTTTTTTCAAACTCTTAACGATAAAATTTTTTCATTAAAACTTTCTTTTTAAATTAAATTTTCTTTTGTTGCTTTCTTTAATATAATTTAATTTAATGAAATTTCTTTTGAAATTGCCTTTGAAATGAGTTGCGTTTGAATTTAATTTGTTCATATATAGAAGAGTTAAAACAATGCAAAGCAAGTAGAACTATATCTTTGACCTAATTTCCAGAAACTCCATAATCATTTTAGTTTTTCAAATTCTGTTAATTACATTTGATTTCGATTTAATTGCAAGTCACGATTATATCATATTGTAATTAAATTTTACTATACTTTGTAAGAGGAAGATAGAATAATTTTTTCAAGGTTACGCACATTGCTTTCAGAAACTATAGTAAAAGAAACTATTTGTTGATAAATTCAAAAATTTGTATTTTTGTCCTAAACATTTTTCAATGAAGTTTATTTGATTTTTTTTTTTTAATACAAACAATTTCTATTAAAATAATTATAGAAATTAATTTTAATAATATATTTTGTTAATTGTTAATTTGAACAAATTAAATTACTTTCAGAAAGAAATAATTAAAATAATAAATAATTACTTATGAAAAATTCCAGTTATATTTGATTGCATCATGAAGAAAAGAAATGGAAGATATTTAAAGTAAAGGTTCCGAAGGGAACACGTGATTTTTGGCTGTGGAAATTTCCACTCTGGAAGATGAAATTATATAGGTGCTAAGGATGCTAGCGTCTTCAAAAAAAATGTTATTCTCAACTCAAAGAATTTTTTTATTACATTGAATAAGACCAATGAACTCGAGATTTTATATTTAGTATTATAATATCAGATGATTTAGTCGTTCTCTTAATTTAATTCATGATGCAACTGAATTTTCAATTGAAACCACATTAAAATAGAAAGGGGTCAATTTTCTTTGTGATAACGTTTTTTGTAGTTCAATGTAGTTGAAATTATTTTTTCTCTTATAATATAATTATTTAAATAAACAGGAAGTGGATCTTTAAAAAAAAAACAAAATTTCCTGTTAACAGAATAAAAAGAGGATGCGGTAATGCAGTAATATTTAAATATATAATTATATCGTGATTAAGTAAAAATTCAAATTTCGCTTCTGTTTTTTCAAAAATTTCCTAATTTTATAGAAATTAATTTTTTTTTTAATTTAAAAATTTTTAAATTTATTATTTAATTTTAACCGGTTTAAATAGTAATTTTTTGAAAATTTCAGAATCTCAAATGATTATAATGAGCAAAGTCTAAAGTCATACATCTGCTCTATACAATTTATTGCAATCTTATGTTACATAACTATATAGATCCAAAATCAAGGTCACGATTTGTTGACATTGATTATAAAACCAGTTATATCTTAAGTGTCATTTATCTCAGATTAAATTCCCACATAATCAAATTTACCATAATTAATAATTTTTCACACTTATCTTGATTCACACAAAAATAATTTTTTCTCTCTTCTTTTTCCTTTATTTTTATATAGTTTCTTTCAATTTTAAAATGAATTTAGTAAACTAATTTTTATTTTCTTTTTTTCATTTTTTGAAATTATTTTTATTTTCTTTTATTGTTTTTTAATTTTTTTTTTTTTTTGCATTATGTTTGGACTTTGAAACAATATACTATTTCTACTTTAATCAGTTCATTATTTAAATGCACTTTCAGCTATTCATCATAGCTTCATGATAATACTTATCAGTCTCTTTTCTTCAGTTGGAATTAATTTTGCTAATCAATTTTAATTACTGTTATGAATGTTAAAAGCAGATGTTTCTCATTTTTAGTTGAGATTCTTTAATGTCAAAAATTTAATGATTTATTTTGTTTATCATTCAAAAACAATATATGAATTATTTTACAACTATTTTGAACTTATCAGAAATTGAAAAAATTATTTATTGAAAAAAATGGTATTTTATTTGACGAGGTCTTTTATAAAACCTATGTTTGAAAAGATTGTTTGTTGTGGGCAAAAAAAAAAAAATATTTGATTAAAATACCAGCATTGCATGTTGTGAAGTAAGTTGAACTGCAACGCCCCAAATAGTATAGTAGTCAAGAAAATCGTTGAGTAAGAATATCGATCCTTGCTCTAGGGAAAACCCTCTTTAAGAATCCCCGGCAACCGTTGTTACAACGACCATTCCTCCGTTCATTTCTGTTTGATATGGGGTGCAGGTATATAAAAGAACAAGAAGAAATTCTTGACCATGGAAAAAAATTGGTGGTGTTTGGTGCCAAATGAAGATCGTATTCCTTCTATTCCAGAGGCACTACTAGCTCTCGATGGACGGGTATTTCAAAAAAAAAAAAGTTTTTCAATTCCTCTAATTACATTACATATTTTTATTCTTTACAATTTGTAGAATATTTTTGCCGCTTTTTTTTTAAATTTTTTATTTGCAAAAAAAGCTTGATTTATAATTAATATGTAAAGTATCGTCTAGACGATTTTTTTGTTCATCGAATTTTGTCATTTGAATTATTTTTATTGAAATTTGGACTGGTGATGATAAGATAAATTACAAATTTTTCTTTCTGTTGTATTAATATAGAAAAAGGAATGATTTTATTTTTAACTTTAATTTTATTTTGCTTTTTCAGTTCTTAAACAATGAGAAATTCTAATGTGCTTCCACAATGAAGGAATCAATAGGTCATGATTCTTCATTGCCATTAAGAAATAAAAATAATTGCAACGTGTCATTCACATTAGTTTGAAAAACAATACTTGAGAAAGAAAAAAAAGTAATTTAAACAAAATAATTGTTTAGAAAGTATATGAAAATGTGATAATTTATTTCAAAATTAAATTGTTAAATATTTTAGAAAATATTTTAAAAAGATATTTTGTTAAGAGAATGATTTTGATAAATCAAAAATTATTTTTATATGACTCGTGCGATAAAAACAGATATTTTTTGAAAGTATCAGTCAGTGTGTATATATGATTCAGAAATTTTATCAGATTTCGTCAGTCAAAATGTCTCATTAACTTTCTATATTACTTCATTTTTTTTTTTTGCTTTTACTTGTAATTTAAAAACTGATTTTATAATTTTTTTGTTTTTTGTTTCATTCTTGATGCACCTGATTCGATTATAAAATGAAAATTTAAAAAAAACTATTAAAATGAAAAATAGTAACAGTGACATAAACCCCGAGGCATCAAATATAGAGGCCAATTAATCTCGAACCTTGAGCAAATTCAATATTACAGATTTACTCAACGATTAAAAAAAATATATCTTCATTATATTATACATTTTCTAATTTAAAAATATAAATTAACATTGACATATTTGAAAAAATAGTAGTTAAATTGTTTCATAGTAATCGATGAATGAAAGTGTAATTAAAGTTTATCTGATTGAATTCAAATTTGCGTCAGGCAAGATTGATTATAGGTAAAGTTTAATTATTCAGAATACAAAAAGATAGAGAAGATTAAAAATAACTCATTTAGGTAATTAATCATAATTTAAAAAATTACTTATGATTTTTTTATTCGTTTTTGTTAATAAAATATTAATAGTAGTAATAGCTTGTCAATTTTATTCGTGACCTTGAAATTTTATTTAAAGGTGCGAATGCTCACGTAGTATTTTTTTTCTGTGAAATCATTAAAAAAAAAAAAAAAAAAAAAAAAAAAAAAAAAAAAAAAAAAAAAAAAAAAACCATTTACCTTGTTTCCTCGAGTGGTAAATCAGGCCAGGAGCCAGCTGATTATTTTCTTCCTGTTCATTCACCGTAGCAATGCAAGAAATATTTTTTAAGTCAATCTATCGATCGTCAGGAAACGCACACTATGATTGTCTAGGTCATGGTCTTTCTCCTATAGGCAGTTTATTTCGATACTACAAAATATATTTTTAATTTCAAATTATTTCCATTTCTAAATTTCTTTTTATTTACTTTTATTGAATAAAAATTTATTAATTAAATTTATTTTTTTATTTTTTAGGGAATGGCTTTCTCGATAGAAGAGAGACAGACCCTTGGAATTCATGGACTTCTTCCAGCAGCCGTTAAAACTCAGGATGAACAATTGAAACTCTGTAGATTGAATATTGATCGTTATCCTGATGATCTCTCTAAATATATTTATCTTTCGAGTTTAATGGTTAGTATTAAAAATTTTATTAAAAATGAATTTAAGTCGCATATTGTTTTTATACAATTTTAGTTTGTACTAACTTTTGCTAGGCGATGAATTGAAAAATTAACGAGTGCACGTCAAGAAAAAAGTACTTAGTCATTATAGAAGGATAACGGCAATTTTTTTTTCCCAGTAACATTAATTTTGCTAACTTAATTTTATTTTTTTGCTTTAAATTGTTAGAATATTGTAAAAATTATTTAAAAAGAATTTTATAAATTAATACGAATTTTTTAAATACAATTTTTTTTTGCAATTATTTATTTATTATTTATTTTTGCAATAATTTAATTAATTTATATTTTTTTCATCCCATTTTATCCAATTTTTTGTATTCTACATTTGCTTTTTTATTTATATTGATTAAATTAATTATTTATCAAATTGATATTGTATATTAATTTATTCAACACAAATACCCGCAGTTCTAAAGAACCATAAATAAATAAATAACGAAAAATTAATTATTTTAATTTGTAATAAAATTTGTTACAGGATCGAAATGAGAAGTTGTTTTATCGTTTGTTAGGCGAGGATGTTGAAAAAATGATGCCTTTAGTTTATACGCCGACTGTTGGACTTGCTTGTCAAAAATTTGGTTTAATTTATCGTCGACCAAGAGGTCTTTTCATTAGTATTCATGATAAGGGCCATGTGTATGATGTAATAAAAAATTGGCCTGAACACGATGTTCGAGCAGTTGTTGTTACCGATGGTGAACGAATTCTTGGCCTTGGTGATTTAGGCGCTCATGGAATGGGAATTCCCATTGGAAAATTATCCCTTTACACTGCATTAGCTGGAATTAAACCCAATCAATGTTTACCCGTTACACTTGATGTTGGAACAAATACTCAGGTACAATAAATAAAAAAATAATAATAATTTATTAAATTACAAAATTTAATTTTGTATTAACGAAAATTAAATAAACGAGAATTTAAAAATCTATTTTTTGAGAACAATAAATAAAAAAAAAATTAATAAATTTCTAAAAGTAATAGAAAATAAATTGAAATTAATTTTTTTTTTCAGTCGTTACTCGATGATGAACTCTACATTGGTCATAGACATAGGCGTATTACGGGTGAAGAGTATGATGAATTTATTGAGGAATTCATGAAAGCAGTTGTTAAACGTTACGGACAAAATACTTTAATTCAATTTGAAGATTTTGGAAATTCAAATGCCTTTAGATTATTAAGCAAATATCGTGATCATTATTGTACATTTAATGATGATATTCAAGGAACAGCTTCTGTCGCTGTAGCTGGACTTATTGCTTCTCTAAGAATTACTGGGACCAAATTGTCAGAAAATACAATCGTCTTTCAAGGAGCTGGAGAGGTAGAAAAAAATTACAATATTTTAAACAGTTTTTTTGCAAAAAAAAGAATAAATTTATTGTTTTATCAGAACTGTTTTTTTTAAATTTGATAATAAATAAATAAAATATATAAGGTAATACATTTTTTTTAAATTTCAGGCCGCATTGGGAATTGCAAGTCTCTGTGTAATGGCAATGAAAGGCGAAGGTGTGAGTGAAAATGAGGCAAAAAGTAAAATTTGGATGGTGGATTCAAAGGGTCTTATTGTAAAAGATCGTCCAAGTGGTGGGCTCACTGTACACAAATTAAAATTTGCTCGTGAACATGAACCAATTACAACTTTAGCTGAAGTTGTAAAAGTTGCAAAACCAACAGTTTTGATTGGAGCTGCAGCAATTGGCGGTGCATTCACCGAAGAAATTCTAAAAACAATGGCAAAAAATAATGAGAGACCAGTAATTTTTGCATTAAGCAATCCAACAAGCAAGGCAGAATGTACCGCCGAGGATGCTTATAAACATACTCAGGTTTGTTCAAAAAATAATTTAATTTGACAACAAAAAATTAATTATATTTAAATAAATTAAATTAATATTAATATAATAATAAATAAATTAATTAATTATTGTAATAGTTATAATGTATCAAAAAATTTTTAATCTTTAGGGAAAATGTATTTTCGCCAGTGGATCGCCTTTCCCACCAGTAGAATACAATGGCAAAACATATCATCCCGGACAGGGTAACAATAGTTATATTTTCCCTGGAATAGCACTTGGTGTAATTTGTGCCGGTATGCGAACAATTCCTGAAGAAACATTTTTGAATGCAGCATCCAGTCTTGCGGAATTAGTAACTGATAGAGATTTAGAAAGTGGCAATGTCTATCCACCCCTTGACGATATTAAAAAATGTTCACTTCGAATTGCGGTGAATTTAATGGAATATGCATATCGAATGTGTAAGTTAAAAAAAATTATATTATAAAAAAAATATTTATTTGTTGTTGATTTCTTTTAATTATTTAATTTTACTTTTTTAATTTTGAAATATACAAAATAATTTTTGTTCGCAGCTTTAGCATCAGTTCATCCTGAACCAAAGGATTATGAAGAATTTATCAAGGCACAATTATATGATACCAGTTATACATCATCGATACCTGAAATTTATCCTTGGCCGAAATTTTAAAATAAAAAAATGATTTTTTATCTTCTTTAATGCGTTACTTGATGTAACGTTTTTTTTTTTTAAAATGAAAAGCCTAATTACGACGACTGAATTTCGATGGTTTTGGTATCGTATTTCCTGTTGAGCAGGCAGTTACGAGTCACGTTTTGTGATAAATATTTATTTGAAAAAAAAAAACTTTTATTGACAATTGTTCAAATAACTCGTTTTTTAAGTAGTTAATTTTTACGTAATTCTATAAATTTTAAGTTAGTTTTTTTAATAAAGGTCTGCCTAAAAGACCGTTTAGATTTTGCATTAATGAGAACTTCAATTTTTGTATAGATTGCAATAAATAAATATTGTTATTATTTAACATTTAATTTTTTATTTTCCTTTTCCTTAAATTTTTGTAAAAAAAAAAAAAATATTTATTTTAAAACTATTACATTAATTTTCATTACGTAGGAAATTTTTGTAAATTTTTTCACACAAAAAAAGTGGGTAAGAATAGAAATACTAATAGAAAATATTTTCAAAAAAATTTGCATATATTTACAAATAAATTATACAATCATTATAACATTATACATTTACAAATTTTCCATGAGGAAATTACAATTGTTTTTTTTAAGTATACGTTCCTATGAATTTTGTTTTTTTTTTAAATCTAAACAATTAGAAACTCATTTGCCAGGCTTTAAGATTGCAAGTTTGAAATTTGCGTAAATATCTAATAGAAAAAAAAGCCTGGCAATTAGTTTCTAAATGTTTTAAAAAATTTGAATTAAATCCCTTAAATTAGGACATTATACACTTGGACAAATCAAATTAGCAGCGGTAGGGAATAAATATAACTTAAATATCTTATGTTTATTTTTGTTTTAATTATTGTTGAATTATTATCTTTAAATAAATGTCAATGCTGTAAAAGCAATGTTGTTTTATTTTTTCAGTAAGGTTTCTTTAAAATTAGTAGATGATTGGAAACCTTTTGATACATTGATTGAATCAAATGATGAAGTGGTCACACCATAGTACAGTATCTGATCTGAGAGAGAAGGCTTGTGACAAATTTGAGGAAAATCTGATTTTCAAAATCATGTAAATAAAAGGATGCAAGCTTTCTGCCTTTCCATCATCTACTCTTTATGAAACTTGGATCTTAGATGAAGGGTACAATAAGATGATAGCAGCGGTGGACATGTTTTATCACAAATTTCCAAAACAATGAAATGAGCTTCTTGAGAATATGCACTTTGAGATCTAGATTTAAAGATTGTGCAGGATTACTCTCAATAGGATTTATCAGTAACCTTTTTGATTTCACAGAGGAAAATTTATTCCTCGATTGGTTAATGATTGAGAAATTAGCAAATGAAGTCATTGCTATGATGAAAACTCGAGAAGGAATACTCATACTTCCCGTATCAAAGTGAAATGAGATTAATTCAAAAGACCTACTATTCTGCAACAAAAAATCCACATATATACTTTCTTATTCACGCTGTTTGAACCTTGTTACAATCTATATGATCTTAACACACAAAATATATGTCTGACCATAATATAGTTAATAATACATTTAACGCTAAAGTCATGGCGTATGCATTAGTTCATAATTCTCCTAATATCTGAGGAAAAGATGAAAATCTTATTTTCAAAATCATGTAAATCCAAGGAAGCAAGCTTTCTGCCTTTCCATCATCTACTCTTTATGAAACTTGGATCTTAGATGAAGGTTACAATACGATGATCTCCGCGATGGATATGTTTTTTCACAAATTTCCCAAACAATGAAATGAGCTTCTTGAGAATATGCACTTTGAGATCCACCATGAATTTATCCTTAAAATAAAATGAAGGAGAAACTGATTATTAATTATTTTTGCACAAAATATTATAAAAAATTCGCTTTTCATAAGACGTAACAATCCTCAATTTCAGTGCCTCAATTAAAAGGAAATGAAAAAACATTTCTTTGAACAATAAAAAAAAATGTCAATTTGAGAAAACATAAGTATCATTCATGAATTCAAAATTTCGATTGTACATGAAATAGTTTGTAATTTATTGAATTACAGGAAAATTAATAATGAAGATTAAGTCTAATCAAAATTGATAAGACTGTTTAGTGAAAAATTTGATTCTAATACAGATCAATTGATCTGAATATTAGCAATCAATTATGAGAATATTCATGATATTAATTAAAAAAGAATTTTTATTATTCGGATAACTTCATTGTTTTCTAATAAAAGTTTTGTTTACCAATTCAAAAAGCAAATTGTATCGCTTATGAAATATGATAAATAAGGAATACGACAAAAGTCGCGGGATGAAATATTTCCTTAGATAATTTCGTTTTGAAAATGGTAAATTAAAAAGGAATATAGTCTTATGATTAATGATGTATGAGGTAAAACTTAATTTAATAAGGCTTAATGAGTGCCAAATTTAATTGAGATGTCCTCGTTTTTCAACGTCCGTAAATATCAGCTGCAAATAAAGATTTATTTCATATTAGATATCTTAAATTTATACTAAATTGTAAATTTGATAATAATTTTCTACATACTTGAATTATTTCCTCTTCAGTTACACTGGATGTTTTATTTATCATCAGAAATAGTAGAAATATATCAACAATCACTAGACATATCCTGACAAGTTCGAGCTTCACTTTGTTCATCAGCGAGAGCTTCTATAATATCCAGCAATAAATCTCTATTCAATTGTTTCAGTCTCGGTAGTCGTGCAACCTATTGTAAAAAAGCCAATATAATTCCATGTCTTTTATTAGTTTCATTATCAATTTTTTTGACGTTATAATGTAAAAATAAAGAAAAAAGAAAACTTTATTTCCAAAAAAATCGACAAAATAAATCAATTTTTACTAAATAAATTTATGGAAGAAAAAGATTTATCTGCAAAAATCAATTTTTTAATTTACATACCTTACTGAAATTGTGTATAATAAGATTTAATGCATATTTCTTCATATCCACAGCTTGCATTCTATCAGCAGCTTCCAAAATTTGTATAACATTTTCAAATGTAACATTCATTTCCAAATTCTGCTTACAAAATGCCTGTAGACGATTATTTGTAAATCCATAAAAAACCGGAGCTGTAAAAAGATAGAGCGAATCCTCTGGTGGCATTGCAACGTCCGCGTAATAAATGTATCTCAAAAGTGAATCGAAAGACTCAGGAGATGGTATCATTTCACCAATTTGGATCTAGATAAAAATTAAAAAATCAATAACCGTTAAAAAAAAATCTATTAACGAAAAATTTATATTATTATACTAACATTAACTGTATTATTTTCAGGCATAAATGATCGAAACATTCCTTCAAAATAACTACATCTTGCAGCAAGTACAGCTTTATGTGCTGGAATTGGTACACCGTCTAAAATTAATGTTATATCACAAAATTCTCTTCCCACTGTTTTTAAAAATGCCTCCATATCCTGCTCGAGTGTTGTACCTGGAAAATTAAAAAGAAATTTTATAATTTACTGTGAAAAAATTAGACAAAAATTGAAAAATAAAGTTAATTATTATAATTTTTATAAAACATACCTGTTCCTAATTCATAATTTTTTGTAAATGTTCTTGCTTGTGGCATTTGTCGACGTCTAATAATTTCAACCATGAGAGGTTTATCCAATGTTTCAAATTCTTGACTCATTACAATTTGATTGTAATTACTTTCCTTTACAACAAAACTCAGACAAAATTCTTTAATAAAATAAAGCTTCAAATGAGCTGCATTATGTAAAGCTTCCAAGACATTTGCATAACTTATAGTTGCTTCGAGATAATGAACGCAAAGTTGTTCCAAACGTTTCATATTAAATTGAACCGCGAGTCTATAGACGTCCATCATAAGTAATACAATTCGATTACTTAAAGGATCCTCTATTCGTTTTGTTGGATCAATACGATCCGTATATATGTAATTTAATACCATTTCAAAAGCTTCAGGCACTGCGTCTGTTAATTTAACCTGAAAATTATCAATTTTTTTTTTTTTAAATTAAATTATTGGAGTGTTTTATATAGAATTGAATTATCGATTTTATTTTAAATTATATTTACCTTTAGAAGAGGTAGATCTTTAACTGATACTTTTATATTGTCGACCATATCTTCTAAATATTTTTCACGATTCTCGCGCGCTTGTCTTATTAAAACTCGCAACGATTGAGATCGTGCAGCGACAATTGCAATATGTGCTGGAATTTTTGTTTCACTTTCGCCAACATTGAATTCAACATCGCAAAATAGACGATTATTTAATAATCTTCCAAAATCGTCGTCCAGTGTGCACTTTGGATATGAAGAAAATTGAAATCGATAAGTTTCACCAGATCGAATATTATTATCGACTGTACCGCCAAATATAAACATTGCCTCACCAATCACAGCCGCTGCATGAAATAATCGACCTGATGGTATCTGCAATTATTTTAATCATACAATAAAAAATAATAATAATTAAATAATTTTAATATAAAATAGTGACAAATAGCTTTATAAATACCTGACTGTCTGGCGATGGTGAGACAATACTCCACGTTTGTGTATCAAGATCGTAACAATGCAAATCATTTGGTAGAGTTGAATCGGCAGTTCCTCCAAACACATAGAGATGACGATCAAAAGTCACCATTGTATGACCATAACGACGTGCCGGTGGAGGTGGTGCGCCTCTTAAAATATGCTCAGCGGAAATACGTGTCCATCTTTTGATTAAATTACAATATAACTAATAAATTTAAATTTAATAAATCTAATTTATATCAAAAATATCTTTAGTATGTTAGTTATAAGTTAGAGAAAAATATTTACCTTTTTTCTCGGAAATGAAACTGAAACAGACTATTGGTGATTTTTGCCCCGCTTTGACCGCTAAATACGAACATTGATTCACGTGCAACAGCGACTGGAAAATTGCAACAAGTCGGTGGACAATCTCCGGATTGAACCACTTCTTCCCAAACTTTATGATCTCCAGGCTGGAAATTAAAAATTAATTAAAACTATCAAAATTAAACGCGCACAAGCGCGTCAAATTGATTCTGTAATTGTTTATTATAAAGAAATTAATATTAATAATATTATAAATTTATTAGAAAATTATTACATATTAAATAATAATAATGAAAATTATATGTTTACAGGCCTCCGATTATACGACTTTTTTTAAAAATATGACTTTTATCGACTTATTTTAATAAAATGCGAAATTTTTTTTTACATTTGAAAAAAAATGTAAATAAAATACATTTTTTTAGTATAAAATGTAGATCTTCTTCAATTCAATTATTTAACAAATTTTGAACTAAAATGATTCTTCACTAAATTAATTATTTTTAATAATTTTAATGAAATACATCACAAATTCAATTATATCAAAATTATTTTTCAATTAAAATTTTTATGAAATTTAACAATAAATTGTTTATAATTTAAAAAAAATATCACAATAAAATTGAATTATTTTTTAAAAATTTCAATTCAAAATCAATTAAAAATCCAATAATTATCCAAATTTTTCAATTTAAAATTTAATTATTTACCAAGTTTTCAATTTGAAATGAAATAAAATTCAATTATTTTCTAAAATTTCTATTCAAAATTAATTATCCAAATTTTCAATTAAAATTCAATTATTTTCCAAAATTTTCAATTCAAAATGAACTGAAATTCAATTATTTTCCAAATTTAAAATCAAAATTAAATTTCATTATTCTCAAAAATTTGAATTTAAAATTAATTGAATTTTCAAAAATTTGAATTTAAAATTACTTGAATTTTCAATAATTTGAATTTAAAAGCATCTAAAATTTTCCATCAAAAAATTTTTTTTTTTTGAAATTTAATAATTTCAATTATAAATTTAAGGAAATTCAATTATTTTTAACTATTTTAATAATATTCTTTGAAATTTCAACTATCTGAAACCATTTTTCAATTAAAAATGATTTTCAAATTATTGTATTTTGTCCGCATTTTCTAATAAATATTTAGTGAAATCATCTAAAATTTTAATTAAAAATCACTTAAAGTTTCTATTAATTTCAAAAATCTCAATTTTAAATCTTTGAAAATTCAATTATATCAAAATTATTTTTCAATTAAAATTTTTATGAAATTTAACAATTGTTTATAATATAAAAAAAATATCACAATAAAATTGAATTATTTTTTAAAAATTTCAATTCAAAATAAACTAAAATTCAATTATTACCCGAAATTTTAATTCAAAAACAATTAAAAATCCAATAATTATCCAAAATTTTCAATTTAAAATTTAATTATTTACCAAGTTTTCAATTTAAAATGAAATAAAATTCAATTATTTTCTAAAATTTCTATTCAAAATTAATTATCCAAATTTTCAATCAAAAATGAACTTCAATTAAATTATTATCCAAAATTTCAATTCAAATTCAATTATTTCCCAAAATTTTCAAATCAAAATGAAATGAAATTCAATTATTTTCCAAATTTAAAATCAAAATTAAATTTCATTATTCTCAAAAATTTGAATTCCAAATTAATTGAATTTTCAATAATTTGAATTTAAAAGCATCTAAAATTTAATTATTACTAAAATTTTCCATTGAAAAATTTTTTTTTTGAAATTTAATAATTTCAATTATAACTCTAAGGAAATTCAATTATTTTTAACTATTTTAATAATATTCTTTGAAAATTCAACTATCTGAAACCATTTTTTAATTAAAAATGATTTTCAAATTATTGTATTTTGTCCGCATTTTCTAATAAATTTTTAGTGAAATCATCTAAAATTTTAATTAAAAATCACTTAAAGTTTCTATTAATTTCAAAAATCTGAATTTTAAATCTTTGAAAATTCAATTAAATTTAAAAAATGTTTTCCAAAAATTGTTGTATAAATTATTTTTAGTTCTGTAAAATTTGATAATTGTTTGAAAATTAACAATATCTTTTGAAATTTAATTATTTCTAAAAATTTTAACTTTAACCCTTCAAAAAGGATTATTAAAAAAAAAAAAATTTTAATTAAAAATCTATAAAATATTTTTGTTAAAATAAAAAACTAATCCACTTTTTTTGGAATATAAATCGACTAAAACGACTTTTTTGTGTCTTTAAGTTGATTCGAGGCCTGTGTTTTTATAATTAATATTTAATAGGTATTCGTTAGCCCCTGGTACCTTAAAAATTAATTTTTAAAAATAAATTTTTTTCAAATTACTATCTTGTACGAAATTTCCTGGCGTATCTTTTTTGCTCATCATAAATTTTTTGTATTTGTACACAATTTTTGAATCAATATACAACTTTAAAAAAAATTTCGTTGGTAAACGTTGTGTATTTCAGCTTCGTGAATTGAATTTTCGAATTTGGAATTTTAAAGAAATTTATTCCGAAATTTGGAAACACAATTATACAACTTTGGCAAAAATGAGAAAAAGAATTGTCAAAATTTGACACGTCATAAGATTACTATTCAAAAAAAAAACGTGAAATCAGAAAAGGCCAACTTCAAGTTAGGACAGAAGGACAGACCAAGCATTTTATTATTATATAATAATAATAATTTGCTTAGGTAAAAAGAAAATTCTTTTTTTTTTAAATAATACTTTACCAATAATGAAATTGTCCACATATCATTAAGACGAGCATTTCCATCGTAACCGGCAAATATCCACAATTTATTATCGTAAACAGCAGCACCATGTGCGGATCGTGCAACTGGAGTTCTATAAAAAAAAAATTCTTTTATCAATTAATAATTAACTTCGAACTGACTTCAAGCAAAAAAAAGTCGGAAATTATTAAAATTTCAATAAATATAAAATAATAATTACTGAATTAAAAAAAAAATAAATTAAAAATGTAAACAACCTTACTTTCCAATAAATTTCCATTCCGTCCACTGGCAAGTTTGAAATTTATATTCAAATAAATCATTTTTATTAGTGAGATTGGAATTTGAATGTATGTCTCCGGTATAACCTCCAAAAACAAACATTGACGAGTCATGGACTACTGCAGAATGATGATAACGCGGTGATATCTCTTGACCATTTGCGAGTGCTTTGACCCATGATTTTTCTTTAACGTCAAAACGAAGTAAATCATTTAACATTCGTTTTCCATCATCACCACCAAAAACATATATTGCATCTTTATAAGCTACAACAGTATGTTTGCTACGCCTGGGAAAATAAAATTGAATACTTAATTTTCTTTTGTGTATAATGTATAATATAAAATTAATGAATTTCCTCAAATTTTTTAATGAGAAGAAAAATTCTAACCTCAAAAAAAATATCCAAATATAGATTTTTTCAACAATAACATAATGTATTAATAATTAATAATTTAAGGATATAAAGGCGAATAATAAAATTACCTGGCTCCGACAAATTCAGCACAATCCGGCATTCGTTCCCACGAATGCACAGTCGCAAATGGACCAAAATCCAATGTAAGGCATTCTGCCGTTACGTTATCCATCTTCATTAAAATAGCAGCTTTTTGACTATAACATTATTGTATAATTTTCGAAATCAAAAACTAATAAATCAGAGTCAAAGAGTTCATTCATGACGATCCTTCCAGCTTCACAGACAAGAAGAGAAAGAAAGAAGTTAAGTTAAGTTAAGTTAAGTTGTGTTTGGCACTATACTGGCTTTGCGCCTATATATCCGGCCATGACCTGGTGAATGAATGAGGCTTAAACTTGATATCTGTGAACAGAGAAAAGGCGGTTCGTATGCCGCCGCACGGGCGCGCAGAGGTGCAACCGGGGAACCAAGATGGATTCCCGGTTGAACCACCGCGCACCAATGATGAGACACAGAGGAAGAGAGCGCGAAAATTAAAGTATATATAAAAAGAGGTAATTATTTAAACAGTTAAGAGTAATAATTGGTAATGAGTTGAATTAAAGTTAAATTTTTATTTTAGCGCGTTTTAAAAATCTAAAAATGTGAGAAACAACTCTGGGGGTGGGATTGGTAAGGAATTGTACGCAACTAAAAGGAGGAGAGCATTTTAAAGCTCTAGAAAGAGATTTTATTAAATCTGCCCGAAGAGTATCGAATCTGGGACAGGCCCATAATATGTGGTCAAGGTCTTGTTCTGTGTTAGGGCAGTGAGAGCAATCACCCGATTTAATATAGTTTTTTCTAGCGAGGCTGGCGTTTAGGTTATAATGATTAGCTCTCGCACGACATAAGGAAACGATCCATTGTCGTCGAGCTGTAAAGTTCGCGAACCATGGTTTCCTACGTGACTTATAATAAAGTTGGGTGTAATGGATTCCCTTGTTTTTACCTATGTCTCTAAAAAAGGAGTTACAGCTGTCAACTAATTGTTTTTTGGCAAGGCAAAAGAAGTCAGAAAAGGGGAGAGGTATGTTAACTAAATCTGAGTTGGCAGTTGCGTCCTTGGCTGCGACGTCTGCCTTCTCGTTTCCTTCAATTCCTGAATGACCTGGAACCCAAACAAGGGTTGTTGGACGATTCAGGTTGTCAAGTATTTTTAATCTGTTTCTAATTGTAAAAATTATGTAAGATTTCGTTTTATAGGTATTTTTTGAGGTCAAGTTACTAAGAACGCTAAGTGAGTCTGAAAAAATAACTGTGTTAGAAAGATCGGAATTAATTATATAATCTAGGCAAAATAAAATTGCGAATGCTTCTAATGAAAAAATTGACGAGTAATCTGAAATTTTAAATTTTGAAGTTAGGTTTAAAGAAGGGCAGACAAAGGCACAGCCAGCCAAATGATCCACTTCAGACTTAGAGCCATCGGTGAAGAAAAAGGTATGATTAGGGAAGTTAAAATTAGTTAAGTTCATAAAATCGATAGAGGGATTACATGAATTTTGAAGTGAGTGACCCCAGTTAAGAATAATCTGGGGAGTAAATGAGTGATCCTCAAAGAGGAATTCAAAGTAAGGATCGAGGTCCTTACTTCTAATTAGTTCGCTATAATTTTTTGATTTTTCAAATGCGATTAAAAGGGGATAGTTGAATTTTACGTTGGAATCGATGGTAAGGCGAGAGAGCTCTGGAAGTTTAGTTCGAAGTGGATGGGTGGAATTTGAGAAAACTCTATAAAGATATTTTTTAGCAAGGAAATTAAATCTTGTTCTTAAGGGGGGTTCACAACATTCAGCTAACATTACATTGATAGGGGTGCTTTGTCTATAGCCAACGGCTAGTCTCAGAGCTTGGTTACGTATTTTTTCTAAACGGGAGAAATTTTTATGAGATTTAAAGTTAGAGGCTTGTGAACCGTAATCTATGGGACTTCTAAGTAATGAATCGTAAATACGAAGGAGTAGATGAGGGTCCGCTCCCCACCAAGTGCCTCTAAGGACTTTTAGTACACTTAGAATTTTTCTTCCTTTATCGCAAAGATAGTTGAAGTGAGTATCGGAGGAAGCAGACTCGTGAAAGTGAATACCAAGATATTTAACTGTGGGGGATGGTTTAATAATTATTTCATTTAAAGTTAAAGAAAGGTTAGGGTCATTTGAATTAAGTTTTTTGTTACTGAAAATAATGAATTTAGTTTTAACTGGGCAAACTTCCAGACCTCTGTCGGTTAAAAATTCGGAAATTATATTAAGGCAACTTTGAAGAGAATTAATAATTTGGTTAAGGTCAGGGGAGCGACAGGTAACAGATAAATCGTCGGCAAATTCGTTTAATTCGCAATCTGCAGGAATAATGGTATTAAGTTTTCTAGTGTAAATGGAGTAATTGATTGGGCTAAGTATGCTGCCCTGTGTAAGGCCAACCGTACTGGTTCTAGGGCCTATAACCTCGCCGTTGATTTTGACAAACATATTTTTACATTTAATTGAGTTATATATAAAACGAGAAATTGATTCCGGAATGCCTATTTCTTTAAGATCTTTAATTAAAATATTTGGTACCACGCTAGGGAAAGCCCCTTTTATATCTAAAAAGAGTGCACCGGTGATTTCGCGTTGTGCTAAGCCTGTCCAAATCTCAGTGGAGAGCAGTGAAAGGCAATCCGTGCAGGATTTACCTTTCCTGAATCCAAATTGTCTTGGACTGAGGATCTTATCACGTTCGATAAGCCAGATAAGTCTATTGTAAATTAGTTTTTCGGAAATTTTAAAAAGACAAGATGCTAGGGAAATAGGACGAAATTTACCAGGTGAGGATTTTGGAAGGAAGAAAATGAGGTAATTGTTCCAGGAAGAAGGGAAAACGCCATTGGAGATTATTCTATTAATAATTGACAGAAGAGTTGATAAGGCTATGTCTGGAAAGTGTTGAATAATGTTGTAGTCTATTTTATCAAGGCCCGGGGATGATTTAGTTTTACATGATTTAATAGCTGTTGTCAATTCGGAAATAGTAAAAGAAGCTTCTAAGAACGGATTGTTGTCAAAATCAACGGGGAAGTCGTCATGAAAAACGGTAGGTGGGTAAAGTTCATCGACGAGTGAGTGTAATTTTTCAATAGTTTCCCTGTCTGCCGAGCAAGATGCAGAGGAGGGTTGTGTGTATCGGTTTTTGAATGATTTAATGACAGACCATACCTTCGTTAAAGGTGTATGTCTGTCTAAAGAGTCGCAAAATGTTTTAAAGGATTGTCGCCTGGCTTCACTAAGGGTACGTTTGGCTATGGCTTCGGTTTTTTTATAAATAAGAAAATTCGAGTAATTTGATAGTTTTTTATAATTTTTTAAGGCTTCTTTCCTATTTTTGATTGCTTCATCGCATTTACTGTCCCACCAAGGTGCAGGAACAAATGGTTTTTTAGATGAGGAGGAATTGTGACGTGTGTTAGATGAGGTTGTGCGTTGTGGACAAATTAAGTTAATTGTTGTATCTACAAGATGTACAAATTGATCATAATCGGAGATTGGGTTATCTGTGTGTAGGACATTTGAGTTTGATTCTATGGACGAATGGAGTTCAGAAGAGAAGAGAGACCAGTCAATACCTCTCAAATTGTATTTATGTGAAGCAAATATGGAAATAGGTATTGTAATACCTAAAGATGTGAAGATGGGAAAATGATCACTACCTAAAGTGTCATTGTAGACCTTCCAGGAAGAGGTTGTGTATAGATTTGAAGTTACGAAGGTAAGGTCTAAAGCAGAACCAGGGTTTGGTGGACGGCTTAATAGAGTGGGTGATCCATTGTTTAAAAGAATAAGGTCTGTAACATCCAATTCATCGCATAGATTACGTGCGTTGGGGCAAACATGAGAGCTACCCCATAGGGTGCTGTGACAGTTGAAATCTCCTCCTATAAAAACCGTGTTGAAGCCCGAATTTTTTATGGAGTTGAAAAAATTTTTCCAGTAGGTGGGAGGGGTTAATTTACCCGGAACTCTATAAACTAATACTACTAAAAGTTCACCCATGGAGGAGTCAATTGAAACAGCGAGTGTCTCAAATTCATCCTCCCGAGTGAAAATTGAACCGATTTTTGAAAATGTTAAATTCTTGCGAATTACAAAAGCAAGGCCGCCGCCTTTATTTACTGTTCTGTCTGATCTAATAATATTAAATTGTTTAAGAATATTAAAGTTAACGCGTTTCTCAGGCTTCAAAAAAGTTTCGCAAAGGAGGAGAATATCAAATTGATTGGAAAGTTTGTGAATTTCGTGTGTCTTGTTAGAGACACCACGGCAATTCCACTGTAAGATATTTAATTTGGAAAGACTAGCCATCCTTGTGAGCTGGAAGAGCTAACAAAGAATGGAGGCTAGTGATGATGTTAGAGAGAGTTTCAAGTTTTTGTTTCACGATTTCTGGAGGTGAGTTGGAAGAAATTTGAGTGACATGCATGTTTAAAAGTGAAATGAAAGAAGTGAGTGATTCTTGAAATTGAGGGTTGGAGTTAGATGTGTGAGGTTCAGGTGGAGGAGAGGAAGGAGAGGCAGATGTGTGTTTGGAAAGAGCAAAACCGTTAGGCATGGAGATGTTAGACCTGCCGTTGTTCCAATTTGTAGCGAAAAAGGATGAAGAAGAAGAGTTGTTTTTTTGTGTTTCGTGTATGCGAGAGTGTGACGTGTTGTTTGATAACCGTTGAGAGTGGTTATTGTGAGTGGATGACACTTGAGAAAATAAGCGTTTTTGGAGGTTAGAGTTTGGATTTTGTGTGAGAGATGCAGAAGGGGCTGGTTGATCTACCAGATCAGGAAAGTCGGAAAAGTTAAATGAATTTATATGACGAGTTACCTTTTTTGGTTTAAGAATTTCTTTGGCTTCATCGAAGGACATTTTGTGTTGTGTCGCATAGTAGCGCACCTCTTTTTGAAAAGTGAATTCTGGACATTGTTTTGAAGAAGGTTTGTGTGGACCGTTACAATTTGCACATCTTGGAGGACCTGACGCGTGGGTACAGGGGTTAGAATCGTCTGTATGGGGGGCTGAGCCGCCGCATTGTTGGCATCGAGGTTTGGACCTGCAGTGTTTGGCTATATGGCCAAATCTTAGACAATTAAGGCACATACGTGGGTCGGGTACGTAGGGACGCACTGGGGATGAACCTTTATAAATTGCAACGCGTTCTGGAATGGAAGTACCTTGGAAGGTTAGAAGAACGGTAGTGGAAGGTTCATACTTAACCGTGTTGTCCTCGTCAATTTTTTTGCGGTTAAACCTCATGGCACCAATGATTTTAATATCTTTATTAACACCTACAACTTCTGCGTGTTCTAAGATTTCATCTGTAGAGATATCTATCCCGATGTTATTAATGATGCCCTGGCATGTGACGAAACTTGATGGGATTATTGCAATTAGACCTTTTGATTTCAGAGTGGGGTCAGATGAAATCTGGTTTGCCGCTCTGCCACTATTCGTGATAACACGAACTTTTCCGCGACCACTTGGATAAATACCGACAACCTTACCCGGGTAAAGGTTGTGGATGATTTTACCGACCGACACATGGTTTAAGTCTTTCGACGCATCTTTCGAATTGGGATCGCGCTGTAAGAAAATTGGACAGTTGCCTTTATTTGAATTTTCGTATTTCGCGAGTTTGATTTTAGATTTATTAATTGCCGAATTTGTATTATCAAGTGATTTTAAATGCACTTTGGCAGAAGAAGGAGGCGGCATGGATGGGTCCGATTTTTCGCATTTACGTTTTTGTTCCGATTCGAGGGACGATGTCGAGTTGTTTCTCGAACGAATGTTTTTTATATTATCTTGATAAAATAATAAATTTTTCGCAGCTATCTCCTCCTCTGTTTCATCAGTAAAGTCCATTGCGGAAGTTGAGAAATCCGCGCTAGAGGCCATGCCTCTGCGACGCGCGCGCACAGCCACGAGGCTGGCTAACCTAAAAAGAAAACAACTATACTACGAAAGGTGAGAATGTTATGAGACCCACAATAAGACTCTTTGAGTCTTTAAAAAGGAAAAAAGAAGATCCCGGATTTAATCGCTATTGGCAAGATGACACCGAACTAGGAGAACCCGTGAAATTCAATGTATGTTTCGTAAGCAAAATAACGCGTCCGCTCGGTAGCGTATCCCTTACGGAACTCAAGAGAAAGAAAGAAGAATGGCCGGAAGTTCATGAATAAAGAAATTGACACTTTTGCACAAGCGCAATAACAAATTATCTCATTGGTGAAAAATAGGCGGGAAGAGTGTTAAAAAATTTAAAAATATTATTATTTCAAATAAGAGCGCGTATTGTAGCCAATGAGGGATTATTTTGGAGCAGACGACAAGTGGAACCGGATATAACATTTTTTCTATAGAATAATTATTACAGTAATTATTGATTAATTAATTCTTGATTATTATTATTATTAAAAAAAATAAAAAATTTAATTATCTTAGTATTGAAAATAGATATTTACAATTTGATATTCCAGTAGTGTTTTGTCTGTCAATATTTCTTTTTTTAATATTGGTACTCTGCTAAATTCCGGACTGTAGTTCCCGGAAAGTCGTAAAATAAATATATGACGTATTTGACAGTGTGTGACAGTGTCAATACAGTATAAGTGAGACAGAGAAGGTTGTTTACCCCATTTTGCACAAGGTAAAAATCCTTTTTATCAATTTCCTTATTTTAAGTATTTTATTCGTTATAATTAACCATTGAAAAACTACAAATAATTTGTATAAATATTACAAATCTTGTTTATTCCTTTCTATGATCCATTTTCCATCTGCTGAAGTTTGAGATTAAATTAATGTAAATTTTTATCAATCCATACAAATTTCTATTGAATTTTATGAGTCACTTGATGTGAAAATTTTAAAAAGTTTTAACATATTTTTTTTTTAAATTGTTATGCAACTTTGTACATAAATCAAAAAACATAACCTTTAAATATAGAAAATACTTTGTGGTGGTTTTGAAAACATTTTCTTTTGTAATAAAAAGTTATCAGCACTTTTATGTATATTATATCACGTTTCTTGATAACATTGTTGAACTTGGCAATATTTTTTTTTTTAAATAAAGTATACTTTTTAAAAATATTGATTCATACTGACAAAATGGGAATTTTTTTTCGTACAATTATAATATAGATGAATATTTCCAAAAATTATCGTTAAATGTGCGAGAAAATTTTATTTTAATCTTACTCATGTAAACTTTTCGAGATAGAAAATTTAAAATTTAATAATTAATATTTTGAAAATTGCAGGTTTCGTAAATTAGAAAAATGACGACCCCTTTAGTATTATCACAAGATGACATCGAAGCTGGAGGCAATAAACATGAATATTCAAATAATGGAATTGAAGGAGATTTTACATATAATAATAATGTTCATTCTGCCAACATGAGTATTAGATTAGGTAATTATTTTCAATCATAAAATATAGTAAAAAAAAAATTATAGGATATTTATAAAAAAAAAATTGTTTACAGGTTTTTTAAAAAAAGTTTATGGTCTTTTGACTATCCAATTGTTAATAACAGTAGGAATTGGAGCAATTTTTATGTACTCAGGAGATCCTGTTAAGGAATATGTTTTCAATAAGTACGTTATTTTTATTTTTATTTTAAATTAATTAAGAGAGAAAGTAATCTAAAAAAAATAATTTAATTTCAGTTCATGGGTACTATTTACAACATTTATTGTAGTATTTATAATTTTAATTGCTCTTCACTTCAAAAGAAGAGAACATCCAACAAATTTGATACTTCTCTCAATTTTTGTAAGTAAAAAAAATTATCTACTTTATATAATTTTGAAAATTATTTAAAATTTAAATTATTTACAGACACTGTCGGAGTCAGTACTTATTGGTATTTTTGTATCTTTATTCGATGCAATAACGGTGATTGAAGCATTTTTCATTACATTTTTCGTTGTATTGAGTTTGACACTATATACCTTCCAATCAAAGAAAGATTTTTCTTCCATGGGCGCAGGGTAAGTGTTTTTCTCTCCCATCGTCTTTTGAATTAAATTTTACTATTTAATAATTATTTATTTGTTCTTTAACAGATTGTACGCAGCATTGTGTGTTTTAATAATTGGTGGATTCATTCAAATTTTTGCTCAAAATTCACTTTTAGAAATGGCAATATGTATCGGTGGAGCTATGGTATTTTCATTGTACATTATTTATGATACGCATATGTTAATGCACAAACATTCACCCGAAGAATACATTCTTGTCACTGTTGAACTTTATCTAGATATAATCAATCTATTTTTATATATTCTTCGAATTTTAGCGGCAGCTAAAAAATAAGTTCTTCATTTCAAAGAATTCAAATTAAATCGAAAAAAAATCCACTTTCAAAAGATGTAATAATCAGTACATGAATTCAAAAAACATGGGAATTTTACTCAATTATTCGGATAAAAGTATTTTTTTTAAACAAGTAGTTATAGATGTCCATTAAAAAAGGATTCAAAATATTTCAAGCAAATTTTAAATTGATATTTTAGTTCAGTTTTTTTTTTTACTGCACATTGTTTTGTACTGAGCATTTATAATGCAGTATAAGAGAAATTGCTGTGATTGATTTTATATATTTTAAAAAGGAAAAATCAGGTTTTAGATATAACTAAAACTTAAATTTTATCGAGTGCTTAAGAATTTCAAGTTATATTTTATTTTTATAGCATTTATTAGCGTAAGTTTTTTTTTTCAAAGAGAAACTCTTAAATATTCTGTCATTATTGTTATTCAATAAAATAATGCGATATTCATATATTAAAAAAAGAAATATTATACTACCAATACTTGTCTATTATGTAGTTTAAGAAAATATGTATAAGTGTATACATTAAAAGAAATATACAAAAAAAAAGTCTCAAATATTCTAAACCTACTTTAAAAATCTATTTCTAATTGAATATTAAAAAAAAAGAAAATCATATTAAATATTTAAAACACTTTATTTTTGTGGTACAAAAAAAGTAATGTTTTAATCTACGACGTTTCCATAGCTGCAGCTGTTTCTTCTGTATATTTTCCCTTATCTTTACCCAAAGCAGCAAGACGACCCTTACCTCTTCTGTCAACAATTTTTTTGCGATCCTTGTCCATTTTCAATTTGACAATAACAGTCTGAAAAGAAAATAAATTTTCTCAATACAAAATAAAAACATTTCTATATATGAAATAAATTTAACCAAAAAAAAAAATCAGTGCCAACTTTACTTCATTAATGAGACTAAATTTGATAAGTTTTATCTTATTCAAGAAAACCTTGATAAAATGCTGCGAATCAAATTATCTGTCTCAATTTCTGTGAATGGTTTGGTTCATCATTTAATTTTTTACATTTTCTTAAATCGTAAAACTAAATGTGGAATTTAATATTTAAAATTTAATTCTATTTTAATATGAACCTTTGAGGGGTCGATTCCAACATAAGCTGTAGCTCCATTGGTTTTTTCTCTTTGAATTCTTTCAATGTAAATGACAAACTTTTTTCTGTAAACTTGGATTACTTTGCCAACTTGGTGGCCTTTGTAGTGTCCACGCACAACCTGTGAAAAAAAAAAACAAGAAAACGATTAAAATTTTTAATAACGTCAAATTTATTAATTTATGCATTAAAAAAGCGATAAAAAAATAAATGTAAACTAAAAAAAAAATATCTCCAAAATACCAAATTTGAGCAACGTGTTAATATGGTGAAAAAGTGAGGTTATGTTATTTACCTGTACTTCGTCGTCTTTTCGAATAGGCATTGATCGTACATTATATTTTTGTCTAAGTTCTTTAGACAATGGTGCAGACATTAATCGCCTTCTAATATGTGAAGGTGCTGTAAAATGCCTTTTGCGATTTTTCCTCCTCGATGAGGTTACTAACGAATTGAACTTCATTTTGTTTTCGACTGTAAATAAAACATTCAAATTTCATTCATTTTAACTATTCTGTTATAAATAATACATATTTTCAAAAAAAAAAAAAAAAAAATACGAAAAACAGATAAAATTACAAAATTTATAAAAACAATTACAAAAAAAGAGAGTATCAACAATCAATCACGTGTCAGAAATTTTTTTTAGTATAAAGCAAAAATAATTATTATTCTACAATAAAATAATTGAAATTAAACATAGAATTAGTGTGAAAGAATTATTTTAATTTTTAAATGTATAAATAATTAAGAAAAGTAGATTTTTTTAAATAAAACTTACCGAAAACAATACTTTTAATACCACTGACAAAACCGGAAGGGATTTAAAAAGACATGACAGTTCTTGCGTTTGCGCATTGTAAATTATTTCATTTCCAGTGCGGGAAAATTTAAAATTAACTAATTCACATTTTTTTTTATGTTTTCCATTAAAAAATGTTTTTTTTTCAAATATTTTATTGAAAATATAATTTTCTCTTTAGAAAAATACTTAAAATAAATATGTAAATATAATTAATAAAAAATTATTTATGAAATAGGAAAAAGCAAATTATGCTGACATGTAACTTAAAATTATTTAACTTTTCATTGATAAAAAAAACAAACAAACAAAATATAAATAATCTAAAGAATATATCTAGATTTTTAATTAAGACATTTTTTCTTTGTATTTGACGTTTATATACGTCAATAAATGAGAAACGTCAGTGATTAATTGCATTTATATAAAAGATAAAGATTCTATAATGTAGAATCAGCATTTTGTGAAATTTAATTTTTTTTCATTTTATATTTTAATTTCATATTTTTCTTTTATGAGCTTTCATTGTTTTTATGGAATTAATTAAAAAACAGTAATTTAAAAAGGTGTCATTACTTGCCTGTATGACGGGTTGCATCAATCAGGATATGAAGAATTTTTTTTTTTTTGCTTACTATGGGTGCTTTCGGCTTGCCTATCGGATCATGATCCGGATCACTCAGTCGTGCTCAATTGCATGTATTTTTCATAATTTTTCTTAGTTCATAATTACACTTCAAAGCAATTGAGAACCTTTTTGTGATCCGGATCATGATCCGTAGGCAAGCCGAAAGCACCCTATAGCGCATTCTTGAGCTAACTTCTGTTTCGTATGTATATATTTATAAAGGTATACATAAGATGTATTTACTTTAGAAGAAATGATGATTTAATATGTGTTATTGTAAAACGTGCATTCTATTGAGATATGATGTTATACTTTGCAGCTCTTGCTGGTAAGTATTTGCCACTTTTTTGAACATGTGTTATTTATGTTATCAAATATTTAATTAGTTTTTATTATTATTATTATTATTTCGGCGATATATTACATAAAAAATTATCTTTTCAGGAGTTATGTAATTTTTAAATTAAAAGAATACACTTTTATTTTTTTTTTACACTTTTTTTTCAATTTTATATAGGTTATAAAATTTTTTTTCAGCAAATCTTGGTATGATTTCGGCAGGATTATTTTTTGGATGGTCCTCACCATCTTTACCATTATTAACAAAAATGGATTCTCCGATAAAATTAACCTCAAATGAAGCTTCATGGGTTGCTTCATTGTTTAATATAGGAGCTTCAATAGGAGCAGTACTTTCTTCACTTATGATACATAAATTGGGAAGAAAAACAACAATGCTTTTCTCTGTTTTACCGTCTATTTTTGGTTGGCTAATAATTGCATTTGCTGTCGCACCTTGGGTAAGTTAATTTTTAATTTATTAATTTTTAAAAAAAAATTTATAATAATTATAGAATTATTGAAATAAGAGCACATATTTTTGTTCTTTATTATTTTATTTTTGGTTATTGTATATATAAAATATTCAGCAACTTTACATATCGAGAATAATTTGCGGTATCGCATCTGGGACATCGTACTCAACAACCCCAGCTTATTTAGGAGAAATATCACCTCCAAATGTGAGAGGAATATTAGGGTCAATGTTGACTGTTTCAGCAAAATTTGGAATGCTTTTAGAATATTTAATTGGACCATTTGTAACAGTTAAAAATTTGGCATTAATTTCATTAATAATGCCAATTTTATTTTTAATAACATTTATATGGTTACCTGAAACACCATATCAATTAATACGTTTAGGACAAATGAAAAATGCTGAAAAATCATTAATAAAATTAAGAGAAAAAAATGATGTCAGTGAGGAAATTAAAATTATTGAACAATCAGTTAAGAATGATTTTTCCAATGGAAATGAAATGAGAATTATTTTTTGCATTCCTGGAAATAGGAGGTAGGCTTTTTTTAGTTTTTTTTTTCACATTTACAATAATATAATTTCACTTTAATTATTTTATGTAAGTGCATTTAATTTAGTTTACACAATATGTATAATTATTCCTTTGTGTATTCATTCATTTGTTTATTTTTATGACCTATATTGTTTCTTTTTATCTTAAAAAGCAAAATTTATTTTCTATACACAATGACATTTATTAATTCTTAATGGAAATATCTCTCGTAAAATAATAAAATTGAAATATTTTTGAAATCACTTTTTTTAATAAAAATAAGTAAATAATATTTAAAAGAAAAATTTTTATTTTATTTTTTCTATAAAAAATTATTTCTTAATATAAAATATAGTTTTTCATTTATGGAAAATTAAATAATAATTAAATAGCAATTAAAATTACATAATTAAAAATTAAATTAAAATTAAATAATTAAAAATTTGAAATAATAAAATAAATTATTACAGAGCGCTGATAACTTGCCTTGGTTTATTGCTGATACAACAAATGTCTGGTAGTCAAGCCGTCGTTGCTTATGCACAAAAAATTTTTGACAAATCTAATAGTGGATTAGAGGGAATATATCTTACGATAATATTAGGTGTTATTCAAATAATTGTGACAATTATTTCTGGTTTTATAACAGATCGTATTGGTCGTAGGCCATTACTTATTTTATCAACATTAGGTTGTGCAATATCAACAGGAATAGTTGCAATTTATTTTCATTTAAATTATTTAATGAAAGAAATTAATGAATTTGGTTGGATTGCAGCTGTTGGTATAACAATGTATATAATTTTTTATTCATTTGGTTTATCTGGTTTACCATTTGCAATGATTGGTGAACTTTTTCCAACAAATATTAAAGCAAAATCAAGTACAATTTGTATTGTATTTGTAAATTTTCTCTCTTTTATTGTTATAAAAACATATCAAATTTTAAATGATTTTTTGGGTATTCAATTTGCATTTTTACTTTATACATTATGTTCAGTGGGTGGTATTATTTTTATTATTTTCTATGTTCCTGAAACTAATGGTAAAACACTTCAACATATTCAGGAGGAATTACATAAAAATGAGAAAAAATAAAATTTGAATTATTAAATATTGAAAAAATTTTAAATTTAAAGCACATAAATAAGAAATGAATTTAATAACTTATTCGCAAGTATATATATATATATATATATATATATATATATATATATATATATATATATATATATATATATATATGTATTAGCAAGCTATTATTAGGTGCTAGATAAAACTTTATATTCATAGATAAAAATTGTTCGTTAAAAGTAACTCTTTCAGTCGTCTTATAACTTTGTAAATGGTAAAAATTAGATTCATTGCTGCAGCTTTTGGAGGTTTGTTAATAAATTTTAAAAAATTAATTTGCAGAAAAAATTTTAGAAATTGTTTTTCGCTTTTTTTTTTCTTTTAGCTAGCATGGGAATGTTTTCATTAGGAACATACGTTGGTTGGGCATCACCGACAATACCAAAATTATTAAAGGACAATTCTCCAATAAAATTAAATCCCGATGAGGCATCACTTGCAATTTCATTATTAAAAGCTGGCAATGCATTAGGTTGTATTATTTCAATTTTTCTTGTTGATTTCATTGGACGTAAGGGTACAATAATTATTTCTATAATTCCAACAACAATTGGCTGGATAATTATATTATTTGCAAAATCGGCAATGGTAAATGATTTTTTTAAAATTTTTATCTAAATTTCAAAAAAAATTGATTTAATTTTCTTTTTTCTCCAATGCTATTTTTTTTTGTATAATATATATATATAATAATCATATAGACATTATACATAGCAAGAATTGTGGGTGGTATCTCAAATGGATTATCGGCAACAACTGTTCCAATGTATCTTGCGGAAATTTCTCCAGCTTCAATTAGAGGCACAGTTGAATCTTGTGCAATATTATTGATGTATGGTGCAATTATTTTTGCCTATGGAATTGGACCATTTATTGATATTCGTCAATTTGCAGGAATATCAATAGCAATATCTTTATTTCATTTTTTCTTTTTTATTTGGTTTCCCGAAACGCCTTATTATTTGATAAAATGTAAAAATGAAGGGACTGCTCGAAAAACATTGAATTTATTACGTAAAAATTCCATATCTGAAGAAATAGAATCAATTAAACGTACAGTTGGAAATGAGGAAAAATGGAATATTCAAGAGATATTCTCAAATTCAAGTAATAATATTAATTGAAATTATATATATATAATTATAATTAATTATAATTTTTTGAGAATTTGTTTTTCCATTTTAGAAAATATGAAAAAATTGATGTTAGGTGTTGGAGTTATGCTCATTACCGTTACATGTGGAGAGATTTTACTTTTGAATAATTCGGAAATTTTGTTTAATTCAATAGAAGGAAAATTATTAGATGGAAAATATGCTAGTATGATATTGGCTGGTGTTTTAGTGATAGTTTCATTAATTTTCTTTTCATTAGTTGATTATATTGGTAGAAAATTATTACTTATTTCATCATCATTTGGTGTTATTATATTTAGTATTTTAGTGGGTGGTTATTTTTATTTTCAAGAATCTGGCTATAATATTTATCATTTAAGTTGGATACCAACATTTGGTATTTTATTGATTATTGCAAGTACATCAATTGGTGCAACTGCAATACCATATGTTGTTGTTAGTGAAATTTTTCCAATGAAATTGAAAGCAATTTATTCTGGAATTAGTATGTGTTTAACATTTTTTTCGGCATTTATTGCATTAGAAATATTTTCACTTATTATTAATCATGTTAATATTTATACTGCATTTTTTTTACTTGCTGCTATTAATAATGTTAATGTTTTATTTATTTATTTTTATTTACCTGAAACAAAACGTAAAACATTGGAAGAGATTCAAATGAATAATATTACTCATTGAATATAAGTATTAAAAAAAAAAAATTTTTTTTATAAACTTTTAAAAAATAGAGAATTTAAAAAAATTAATCGTTTTGAAAATTGATTAAAATTGTTAAGCGAAATAAAAAAAAAAAGTGTCGAGTGTACAAATTGACAAAAATTTAATTTTTACATCAAAAAAAAGTAATAAGCTGTATATTGTATAATAATGTCAGCAGTAAAATTTCATTCTTTGGGTTATAAAAAAATCTTTTATGAGATTATTAAGATAATGGAGAAAAATCCAATAATATAGTTAAACGATTTTACATTCTAGTTACACTGACCCCATTTGATTTCATTTAAGTAATGAACTAAATATCATTTTATTACCTTTTGCATCAAAATAATTTATTTCTACATATATATACAATTTGAATAAATTAATTTTAATTAATGATAAATTGACGCGGATATTATTTTCATCAAGCTATAACATGACTGACAATCGGATTTTCTCCCTCAAAAAAAAAAAATTAATTATTTTTTATTTATTTTATCGCTTATTAATAATATAATTAAAATTTTAATTTCAATTTGCAATTAACGATAAATATAAATTAATTGATGGGAAGAAGTGAAAAAAAAATTCAAATATGACATAAATAAAACAGACATTTATTTTAAAATATTTTTTTTTTTTTATATAAATACAATCACATTTTATTTTATATTAAATAACATTCATCGTTTATATATATATGATTTTATTATTGCACAGCATTCATTAATACTTTTTTTATACACATATTATGAAGAATATTATTAATTTTATATTTATTTTAATATTTTATTATAGAGGGTGATTGTAATCAAACCCTGTAAGATTTTTTATATTTCATAACTATACATTTTTTTTTTTTTTTTTTTTGACAAAAATTTTTGTGCATATAAATCATTTTCATTAAATCATTGGGTGATTTAATTTATCTTTTTTCCATTTTTTTTGTTTTTTTTTAATGATTGTTCTGGTAAAAATTTATATACGCGAGAGGTGATTTTCCATTCACTGAGCACTTTCATAAATATTAATTTCTTTGTTGGAATCGAGTTTTTTTTTTTTTTTTTAATAATTATTAGTCACTATAGTTTTCAAAACAGGGAACAAAAATCCTGTTTTAATTGTGTGAATTGCAATTGTCAGACTTGTAACTTGAATGATCAAATCCAATTTTATCAGTAGTTTTTGTTTCCAAAATATTTCTCGTTGGCTGGATATCTAAAAACAAAAACAAAATTTCACGCGTTTACTTTTTTTTTTCTCTCTCTCTCTATCTTCGATACAATTATTACTTTTAGATAACATCGACGTATTCCTATCCCAAGGGATGAAAAAAGTTATAATATAAATTCCGTTATATAGCAGGCAAAGGACTTTTTATTTAAACTTCTTTTCCTTTTTTATAATTCCGTCATATAAATATTATTACATGTGTTATATAATATGTCAATATTCTTCGTTATTGATAAAAAAGAATTATATTAATTAATAAAAAAAAATTATTATTATATTAATAAAAAAAAATATTATTATTTTAATTAATAAAAAAACTTATGCATTTTTACAACATTTGTATTGCATTATAATAAATGTATAATAATGTGTAAATCTATTTCATTTGTTTCTGTTAATAATTTTCAACTAAAGCTATTGATTAATTAAACAGACAAAACGAGTCAATAAAGAGTAGAAAACAGTGACGAAAATAATCTCTTTAACTCTTCTACATACATGTATTTTACACGAAGAGATAAATCATATATTGATTTGAAAACGATTTTACTTGTTACATGTATTATTATATAAATAGTTCACTGAATAATTGATAAATTGTATTTAATTATAAAATACATAACTTATAATTAATTACTAATTAAATACTAATTAATTTTTATTTAATTTTCTAATTAATAAATAATTAATTTCTATTTAATTACTAATTAATTACTAATGAATTTATAATTATAATTTTTATTTAATTTCTAATTAATTACTGATTTATTTTGATTAAATTTCTAATTATGTAAATCATAAATTAATATTTATACAAATATAATTATTAAATTTTAATTGCAATCAATTAATTATAATTGATTCTAATTATTTGACATTTTATTAAATTTGTACCAGAAATTTAAAGCCAAACGGCTCTCCCTTTTTATAATTAAATTAATAACAATTTTAACTAATTAATATAATAAAAGTAGCCAAATAGGTTTTTATTTATAAAAGAGAAAAATCTGTTTTATCAGCTGATGATAAAACAGTTAAATCTGTTTTACCGATTGGTTAAAATTTTCATCAGTATTCGGAAAAATAGTTGAATTTAATTCATTATTAGTTAGTAAAACACACGGAGAAAAAAAGATTGTTTCACCTACAATCGTATTGCAAATATAGAACCAATAAATATTGTTTGTAGGTGCAAAAAAATGTTTTGTTTGTCTAACAATTTGAAATTGTTGAAAACCAGAAATTTGTTGTACCAACAAACTAGATTTGTTGGTTCTATGTTAAGAATCTGATTATAAGATTTAATTCCTTTTTCTCTGTACAGTCAAATCAGTTTTATCAACAATCGGTAAAACAGTTAAATCTAGTTCTTTAGCAATTGATAGAACAGTCAAATTTTTTGGAAAATTAAATCTGGTTCATTAACAATTGATAAAAAGGTTATTGGTTATCAATTGGTAAAACTGTCAAATCTGTTTTATCAACAGTTGGTAAAATAGTTAAATCTGTTTTCTCAGCAGTTGGTAAAACAGTAAAATCTGTTTTATCAACAATAGGCAAAACAATCAAATCCGTTTCACAGAAAATTATAAGGTATTAAAATAAGCCGCAACGTTTATTATTTTAATCCAATTTTGCTTATTTTAAGACAAAAATGGATTAAAATAAGCAAAATTGGATTAAAATAATAAGCATTGCAACTTATTTTAATGCCCTTTAATTTTCTGTGTTTATCAGCAGTTGGTAAAACAGGTAAATCTGCCTTATCAGCAGTTGGTAAAATAGTTAAATCTTTTTTTATCAGCAGTTAATAAAATAATTAAATGTGTTTTATCAGCAGTTGGTAAAATAGTTAAATCTGTTTTATCAACAATAAGCAAAAGAATCAAATTCGTTTGACAGTAAATTAGAAGGTACTAAAATAAGCTGCAACGCTTATTATTTTAATCCAATTTTGCTTATTTTAATACCAAAATGGATTAAAATAAGCAAAATTGGATTAAAATAATAAACGTTGCAGCTTATTTTAATGCCCTTTAATTTTCTGTGTTTATCAGCAGTTGGTAAAACAGATAAATCTGCCTTATCAGCAGTTGGTAAAATACTTAAATCTGTTTTATCAGCAGTTAATAAAATAATTAAATCTGTTTTATCAGCAGTTAATAAAATAATTAAATATGTTTTAACAGCAATTGATAAAACAGATTTCGCTATTTAATTATAAATTCTACTGGTTTTTCAGTGAAATATGATTGAATTTTTGTATTCTTTTAAAAATTACCTGATGTTTCTTCTTCATCTGGAAATTGAACATGCTTTCTTGTCTGTCTTCCTGAAGTTGGACTCTTTTCGGATGTTAAAGTTGTTGCCAATGCCGTGGGACTTTGAGTTGGCGTTGCAATGGCAGTTACTTTTGTGTCATTGTTTGTTGTTAATCTTCGTGAACTTAGACATGAGGTTGCTGTAGTTGTTGGTTGTACGGTATAACGTATCGCTGGAACCTTTATATATATATATATATAGAAACAGTTAATATTGATCTTTATCTAATACACGTTAAATCTTCATTTGGGTTTCGGTAAATTGAAATTCCTTTGAGTTTGTGAACAATTATGAAACTAAAAAAATAAATTCAAGAATAAAATAAATTTTAACAATGTTTAATAAATCAATATTAAATAAATAAGTAATAAATAAGTAATTAATAATTAATAATTAATAATTACCTAATAATTAATAATAAATAATTAATAATTAATAAATACCTAATAATTAATAATTAATAATAATTAATAAAAATTAATAATAATTAATAATTAATAATTAATAAATAAATAATAAAAAAATATTTTAAAAAATCAATTTGTTTAAATATTGCAAAAAAGATCTGTATCTGGATTTTCTTTTTTTTTTTTTTTTTTGAAAAATTAGTAATACCTATTTAAATTTTTTATTTTTACAAATATTGTTGTTGAGTTTCTGAACGGATTCTTCTTTTTTTTTTACTTCACAGTTTCAATTAAGATTACCTTTTATTTACAAGACTGCCTTAATTTTCCATTTATCTTAATATATAAGACTCTTTTTTTTTCTGCGTGTAACATTTAAGAGGGTGTATATAATGTCGTTGAAAAAAAAGATAATTCTTTACATATATAGTTTTCTTATGTTTCAATAAAAGGATCTCTCTTTCTCTCTCGGTATTGTTAGAATGGCGATAATAACCCCTCTTTATGGTGAGTGTTACTAACTGCAAGTATTTGAGCTTTTTTTTTTTTTTTTTTTTTTTTTTACTAACCCCATATTCGCTGTCGTCCATTGCCCTCCCACGTCCTTCACAATATTCTTGAAATTGTGAAATCACACAAAGAAGAGAGTATAGCTGGAATAAAAGAATTTAGATATCAACACCTGATGTCCAAACTAAATTGGAATTTTTCAAAAAAAAAAAAAATTTTTTTTTCAATTTTTTATTATATTTTTAGACTTTATTGTGGTGAATTATTGACAATTATTATATGAGAGGTGAGGGAATTTCCCATAAAAAATCAATGGTTAGAAATTTTATTATTAAGAATTTTATTATTTATAATTATTTTTTTAATGAATTTTTTTTAATAAACATTTTTCAATTAAATATTTGATAAAATTTCGTTTTTTAACGAATTTTTACTTAACACATTTTTTGGGTACCGAATTTTTATTTTACAGAATTCCTCTTTATGAAACTATTTACAATAAAAAAATCTAGTTTAACCAAATTATAATTTACTATAATTAATATATTTTTCAATTAATATACTAAATTATAATTAATATATAATCTAGAAAAATTTTCATTTAACAAGAATTTTTAAGTAATTCTAATTTTTAAATGACAGAATTTCCAATTCACTGAATTTTCATTTGTCCGAATTTTTATTATCACGAATTTTTATTTTAAAAAATTCTTAAAATGCCGAATTTTCATTTGACTGAAATTGCAAATTTAAGAATTCTATCAAAATTAAAAAATTCGAACAAAAATAAAGATTCGATGAATTAGAAATTTTTAAATCAAAAAAAAATACAAATTAGTTTAAAATTCCTTAAAATGCGATTGTGCAAATCTAAAATTCTTTTAAACATAAAAATTCGGTACCCAAAAAATATTTATGTTAAGTAAAAATTCGTTTAAAAAGGAAATTTTATCATTTTTGCTAATTCGAAAAATTTGTCTCAGAACTTAAGAACTATTTTTTATTTTTTTCCAAAAAAAAAAAATTTATTTAGCCAGAAATAAAATTTTACATAGCGTAAATAAAATTTATTTGAAATAAGTAAAAAAATTTTTTTTTGAAACAAATAAAAATTTACTTGAAACAAATGAAAATTTATTTGTCTCTGAGACAAAAATATATATCTTTTTTCTCGGTGTAAAATGAAAATTTTAACTCTAATGATTTTTTTTATGGAAAATTCATGCTCCGTAAATTATAATTTCTATTAGACAATCATTTATCAAAAATTGAAAGAAAATTTTCAATAAATTACAATTAATTAAATTTGTTACTATTGGATTTATTTTTTTATGCGGAATTTTTTTTTTTTAAATACTTACGTTGAGGCAAAAAAGGAAAAAGGCGAGCGTGAGAACCATGGCCACAGCCGGTTCAAATGGGGGCTGAAACAAACGTTTGTGTCACTGTATTCGTATATACATATATATATATATGAAAAAAAAGCCTTTGATCGATCGTTGGTTCCTTTTAGCAAAGTGCATTTTATTCGACCTTTTGCAATAAAAAATGTATACTAAAAGTGAAAACGAGTTTACTTTTTTTTTTTTCCACTAAAAAGTTGACACAAGGGATAAAAATGTGTGCGCCTAGAACCGTGAAAATAAAGGCAAATATTTCCAACCAGGTAACATTATCTCTTCCAAAAACTATTGAATGAAAGTTTCAATTTATATTCTTTTATTTGATGGAAAAAGAAGAAAAAAAAATACTTTTTTTACATTTTACAAATATAAATGAAAAATTAAAAAAAAAAAAATAAACAATTTTGATAATTGTGATGAAAAAGAAAAATAGTTCAAAACTATTTAATTTCTTGTTATTTATTTATTTAAAAACTAGCAAAATTAAACGAGCGCAAGCGCGCCTAATTGATTATTTGATTGTTTGTTATAAAGAAATTAAAGATTAATATTATCAATAATAATTTAATTTATTAGAATATTATTACATATTAAATGATAATAATGAAAATTATATGTTTACAGGCCTCGGATTTTACGACTTTTTTCAAAAATATGACTTTTATCGACTTATTTTAATAAAATGCGACATTTTTTTTTACATTTGAAAAAAAATGTAAATAAAATACATTTTTTTAGTATAAAATGTAGATCTTCTTCAGATCTTCTTCAATTCAATTATTTAACAAATTTTGAACTAAAATGATTCATCACTAAATTAATTATTTTTAATAATTTTAAATACATCACAAATTCAATTATATCAAAATTAGTTTTTCAATTAAAATTTTTATGAAATTTAATAATTGTTTATAATTTAAAAAAATATATATCACAATAAAATTGAATTATTTTTTAAAAATTTCAATTCAAAATAAACTAAAATTCAATTATTACCCGAAATTTTAATTCAAAATCAATTAAAAATCCAAAAATTATTCAAAATTTTCAATATAAAATTTAATTATTTACCAAGTTTTCAATTTGAAATGAAATAAAATTCAATTATTTTCTAAAATTTCTATTCAAAATTAATTATCCAAATTTTCAATCAAAAATGAACTTAATTTAAATTATCATCCAAAAATTCAATTCAAATTCAATTATTTCACAAAATTTTCAATTCAAAATGAACTGAAATTCAATTATTTTCCAAATTTAAAATCAAATAAAATTTTAGTATTCTCAAAAATTTGAATTCAAACTTTTTGAACAAAATGAGAGCATCTCAATTTGTGGAAGATCGTGAAAGGGCTACAAAATCAAGATATTGTCCTATTTACAAATATATAAAAGAGTTGAAAAAACCAAACACGGAGACATATATTAATTGGAAGATACCTTTGAAAATTACAAGAACTTTAGCTCAATTAAGATTAGCAGGAAGATCAGAGTGGAAAATAAATTTAAAACCGGGATATGTATATAATTTCAGTGACAATGATAAGTGTCTGATGTGCAATATGCGTAGAAATGAAAATTTAAAACATGTTCTTATTGATTGTCCTGCGTATAAGGAATGTTGTAGAGAAAATATTAATAGAATTTCGCTTACGAACATATTGAAAGTGGATAAAATTGAAACCGCGAAAAGTCTTTTTTATTTTATTAGCAATTTAGTTAAGATTAGGGCTTTCTGTTTATGTGAATAGTTTTTTAAGGACATAACCCTCATGTAAAGGAGGCAATGCGCCTTTAATTACATTATGTAAAATAAATAAATAAATAAATAAAAAATTTGAATTCAATATTAATTGAATTTTCAATAATTTGAATTTAAAAGCATCTAAAATTTAATTATTATTAAAATTTTCCATTGAAAAATTTTTTTTTTGAAATTTAATAATTTCAATTATAACTCTAAGGAAATTCAATTATTTTTAACTATTTTAATAATATTCTTTGAAATTTCAACTATCTGAAACCATTTTTCATTTAAAAATGATTTTCAAATTATTGTATTTTGTCCTCATTTTCTAATAAATTTTTAGTGAAATCATCTAAAATTTTAATTCAAAATCAATTAAAATTCAATAATTATCAAAAATTTTCAATTTAAATTTTAATTATTTATCAAGTTTTCAATTTAAAATGAAATAAAATTCAATTATTTTCTAAAATTTCTATTCAAAATTAATTATCCAAATTTTCAATCAAAATTGAACTTCAATTAAATTATTATCCTAAATTTCAATTAAAATTCAATTATTTCCCAAAATTTTCAATTCAAAATGAACTGAAATTCAATTATTTTCTAAATTTAAAATCAAATAAAATTTCATTATTCTCAAAAAATTGAATTCAAAATTAATTGAATTTTCAATAATTTGAATTTAAAAGCATCTAAAATTTAATTATTTCTAAAATTTTCCATTGAAAAATTTTTTTTTTGAAATTTAATAATTTCAATTATAACTCTAAGGAAATTCAATTATTTTTAACTATTTTAATAATATTCTTTGCAAATTAAACTATCTGAAACCATTTTTCAATTAAAAATGATTTTCACATTATTGTATTTTGTCCGCATTTTCTAATAAATTTTTAGTGAAATCATCTAAAATTTTAATTCAAAATCAATTAAAATTCAATAATTATCAAAAATTTTCAATTTAAATTTTAATTATTTACCAAGTTTTCAATTTAAAATGAAATAAAATTCAATTATTTTCTAAAATTTCTATTCAAAATTAATTATCCAAATTTTCAATCAAAAATGAACTTAAATTAAATTATTATCCTAAATTTCAATTAAAATTCAATTATTTCCCAAAATTTTCAATTCAAAATGAACTGAAATTCAATTATTTTCTAAATTTAAAATCAAATAAAATTTCATTATTCTCAAAAAATTGAATTCAAAATTAATTTGAATTTTCAATAATTTGAATTTAAAAGCATCTAAAATTTAATTATTTCTAAAATTTTCCATTGAAAATTTTTTTTTTGAAATTTAATAATTTCAATTATAACTCTAAGGAAATTCAATTATTTTTAACTATTTTAATAATATTCTTTGAAATTTCAGCTATCTGAAACCATTTTTCAATTAAAAATGATTTTCACATTATTGTATTTTGTCCGCATTTTCTAATAAATTTTTAGTGAAATCATCTAAAATTTTAATTACAAAACACTTAAAGTTTCAATTAATTTCAAAAATCTCAATTTTAAATCTTTGAAAATTCAATTAAATTTAAAAAATGTTTTCCAAAAATTGTTTGATAAATTAGTTTTAGTTCTGTAAAATTTAATAATTGTTTGAAAATTAACAATATCTTTTGAAATTTAATTATTTCTAAAAATTTCAACTTTAACCCTTCGAAAATGTTTATTATTAAAATAAAAATTTTTAATTAAAAATCTGTAAAATATTTTTGTTAAAATAAAATACAAGTCCACTTTTTTTTTGGAATATAAATAGACTAAAACGACTTTTTTGTGTCTTTAAGTTGATTCGAGGTCTGTGTTTTTATAATTAATATTTAATAGGTATTCGTTGGCCCCTGGTACCTTAAAAATAAATTTTTTTCAAATTACTATCTTGTACGAAATTTCCTGGCACATCTAATTTCTCATCATACATTTTTTGTATTTGTACACAATTTTTGAATCAATATACAACTTTAAAAAAAATTTCGTTGATAAACGTTGTGTACTTCAGCTTCGTGAATTGAATTTTCGAATTTGGAATTTTAAAGAAACTTATTCCGAAATTTGGAAACACAATTATATACAACTTTGGCAAAAATGAGAAAAAGAATTGTCAAAATTTGACACGTCATATGATTACTATTCAAAAAAACACGTGAAATCAGAAAAGGACAACTTCAAGTTAGGACAGAAGGACAGATCAAGCATTTTATTATTATATAATTAAGTTTTTTTTTATTATTACATTTTAGAATATATAAAAGAAAAATTTTTAAAAAAACTAATTTTGATGAAAAAAAAAAAAAAAATAAGAAAATTCACTTGAAAATTTTATTTAACTTCTTGTTATTTTGTCTGTTACAAAAAGTTATTACTTTTCTATTAAAATTTTATAGGACAAAGTTTCTTTACGAAAGTTGTGTTGAGAATTGTTTTTCACAAAAATACGATGGATACAACTTCTTTTATATTCTCAAATGACGAGAGAAGTTTTATGTAAAATTCAAAATATACAAAGTTCATATTTTCTTATATTATATAAAAATACTGAGTTGTCTTTATTCTTTATAAGTAGGCTTTGTAACTTTAATAATACAAGAATATTGTAATAGCTCGACTTTTGTTTCTTTTATTTATTTTTATATTTTCAGTAAAATATAATTTCAGCAAAATAAGAGTAATGTTTTGAAAATATTCACTTATATGTAAAATATCCTTTTCTTGTAAAGAATTTTCCTATAATCAAGAAAGTTAAAACAATTAATAAAAACACTTTTGTTGTATTAATTAATATTTTTCTTCTATTTATGCCATAAATTTTACACAACACTTTGAAGTTTCTATATTAAAATTGAATATTTCAAACGAAAGCTTAATTTATCTCTAATTTAATTAAAGTCTGCTATATAAATTTTTTTGTTAAAAAGAAAAAAATTGAAAGAAAAAGAAATTACATTTTTTTTTATTTTTTTGTTTGTGATGAACGAAAAATACAAATATTAACTTAATGATGGTTTTGCGTGTATCTTGATTTATTATAATAAATAAAATAAATGAGAAATATTATAGAAAGAGTGAAATGGAAAATTATGATGATTCTCGATCCATTAGAAGAAAAAAAAAATTGTTTCTTAAAGTTATAAACAATAAAATTGAAATATTTTAAGTATTAAATCAAAAATGTAATTTCTATTTTTTAAAAACTTTATATAATAATTGTATAATCAAATTTTGAATTGAAAATAAATTTAAATCAAAGTTATCATCAGAAAATTTAATCCAAAAGTTTTCGCACTCGATGTAAACCACACAGTTTGCTGATTACATATAGGGGCATATCTCTGGAGCTTTTAACTTTTATATGTATATGTTCCTCCGATATGTGTATATTTGAATAATTTGAATAAATTATTACCTGACATTTGCTGGAGATATTAATTTTTTTTTTATGAGCATTGTTTTACAAAATATATTTGATATTAATTTATTATTTACAGGCAAATAATTATTTTACTTTCAATGATTTAGTAACATTTAGTAATATTTTTTCACTAAAATTGTAGTGAAAAAATTTCTACTAATTTTTAGTTATTTTTCAATAAAAATTTAGTAAAATATATTAATATTTGATGTAGTCATTTTTAGTAATATTTTTTAAACTAAATTTATAGTGAAAAATGACTAAAAATTAGTGAAAATTTTTATTTAATTTCCAGTAAAATATTACTATTCGATTAAGTAATATTTAGTAATATTTTTTTTACTATAATTATAGTGAAAAATTTCTACTAACTTTCAGTCATTTTTTTACTATTGTAAAAAATATATTAATATTTGATTTAGTAGGATAATATTTAGTAATATTTTTTTTGCTAAAGTTATAGTGATAACACAGAAAATTAAAAGGCATTAAAATAAGCTGCAACGCTTCTTATTTTAATCCAATGTTGCTTATTTTAATACCAAAATGGATTAAAATAAGCAAAATTGGATTAAAATAATAAGCGTTGCAGCTTATTTTAATGCCTTTTAATTTTCTGTGAAATGACTAAAAATTAGTAGAAATTTTATTTAATTTTTAGTTAAATATTATTATTTGATTTAGTAACATTTAGTAATATTTTTCACTAAAATTGTAGTAAAAAATTTCTACTAATTTTTAGTTATTTTCACTAAACATTTAGTAAAATATATTAATATTTGATGTAGTCATTTTTAGTAATATTTTTTAAACTAAGTTTATAGTGAAAAATGACTAAAAATTAGTGAAAATTTTATTTAATTTCCAGTAAAATATTACTATTCGATTAAGTAATATTTAGTAATATTTTTTTTACTATAATTATAGTGAAACATTTCTACTAACTTTTAGTCATTCTTTACTATAGTAAAAAATATATTAATAGTTGATTTAGTAGGATAATATTTAGTAATATTCTTTTTATTAAAGTTATAGTGAAAAATGACTAAAAATTAGTAGAAATTTTATTTAATTTTTAGTTAAATATTATTATTTGATTTAGTAACATTTATTAATATTATTTTACTAAAATTATAGTGAAAAAATGTCTACTTATTTTTAGTAATTTTTCACTGTATAGTAAAAAAATATTAATATTTGATTTAGTTTGGTAATATTTAGTAATATTTTTTTTACCAAAGTTATAGTGAAAAATGACTAAAAATTAATAGAAATTTTTCACTATAATTTTAGTAAAAAAAAATTATTACTAAATTTTAATCAAATAGTAATATTAGTAATTATTAATTATTATTAATATTAATAATTGATTATTAATTATTAATAGTATTAGTATTAATTATTAATTATATTTATAGTAATATAATATTTTTATATCATCACTAAATCAAATAGTAATATTTTACTAAAAATTAAATAAAATTTCTATAAATTTTTAGTCATTTTTCACTATAACTTTAGTAAAAAAAAAATTTTTTTTAAAATTATTTTTCCATTAAAAAAATATAATAACTTACCTTTCCGCAAAATGTGACGTATATAAAATGAGCTACGTCGACAACACTGCTTACAAATGCCGTGAAAATCCATGGCAATAAGAACAGTCTTCGATCCTAAAAAAAAAGAAGAAAGAAAAAAAAATTGTTCTTTTTTAAATTCTATACAGTATTCAGAAAGACGTAAAATTCCAAGAAATTTTCATAATTGCTTGGATTCTTTTTCCCCCTCATTGTTTTTTATGTTTTTGTTTTTTTTTTTCTTCTTTTAGTTATATATCCGCGAGTTCTTTCGTTTTCGCTTGAAAAGAGTGTTAACTGGAGGTAAAAGTTTAACTTCCAAGAGAGACAGAGAGAGAATTTAAAGCAAACGCGCTCGCACGTACATTTTTCCTTTTAATCTTTTCGTATATACGCTATGTATATGAAATTGTTTTTTTTCCATACCCTTAAAATGTGTTATTTTGCGGGGATTAAAGAAAAAAGCTTTTATACCACTAAAAAGAACAAATTTCAGTATTAAATAAAAAAAAAAAAAAATTAATGTATTTTTTTTTTTGAAATTGAAAATAATAAAAAAAGAAAGATTTTAATTAAGTACGCAGTGTATAAAAGGGAGTTGTATTTTAACTCCCAATGGGAGTTTATAAAAGTCACACTTTTTTTGGAGTTAATGTAAAAAAAGAGTCGATGCCAAGGGAATTAATTTTACCCCCCCAGGGAGCTTTGATCCATGAGTTAATGTAATGTTTACTCTCTTTTGGAGTTCTTTTAACTCTGAAAATTTTACTCCCAACTCTGGTTAGGAGTAACTCTTCATTACCTCCACAAATTTTTTCATTTTTTTTACATGTATTAAATAATTAATTAAAAAATTTAATTTTTTAATTAATTTTTTAATATACATATATTTAATTTGTAATTTAATTTAATTAATTTTTTTAATATACATGTATTAAAAAAAATTTAATAACAAAGATAAAAGTTTTTAAAAAGAAATGAGAAAAATATTATTTTTTTTTGTCATTAACCTGACAGAGCTATAAAAGGAATGTCAAAATATTTGACGTAGGTAACAATCACTGCGGTGTTTATCTAAAGAGAATAAAGCAAAAAGAAAAAGAAAAGGAAAATTGATTTGTGATTATTTACACATTAACAAAAAGTACATTTAGAGTACATACTTCATATTCATTTTCAATAATTAAATCTTTTTAAAAAATTCCGAAAAATTTTTTTCCCCTCCTATTTTTTGTACAACATTTAATTAATTAAAATGCATAAAACAAGATTTTTGAAAAATCATACTCAACTTTCAAAATGATCCCTATATATGTATATAAAAGAAGTTAAATTATATTAACAACAACGAGGGTTTCCTATTGTTTGATATTCTATTGTGCGATGAAGGAAATAAAGGAGGGGAAATAAAGTAAAATACAATTTGATTTCTATTAAACAAGAGATGAAGGAAAAATCATTATATAATTATTGAATACATCATTTTCGGTAAATTAAATAAATAATAAACAGAAATTTGCAAATGCAAATATAGTCGCATTTGAGTTTAATCTTAATACGCCCAAATATCTATTTTGGATTGTTAACCATCTCTCATGTTATTTGCATGCCTCTTCACTTGATTCGAATTTGCTCAATGACATCTATGCATGAAATATTTGACGCGGTACAGGAGAGAGAGAGAGAGAGAGATTTATCTATAAAATTTGTGACTGATAAATTACAGTACTATTTTTATTATTATTATTATTATTATTTTATTATTATAATTATTATTTTATACTAAATTATTTATTTATTTATTTATTGTTATTGTTATTGTTATTGTTATTGTTATTGTTATTGTTATTGTTATTGTTATTGTTATTGTTATTGTTATTGTTATTGTTATTGTTATTGTTATTGTTATTGTTATTGTTATTGTTATTGTTATTGTTATTGTTATAAAAAATACCCTAATCTTTTTTATAAGTAATTAATAATTTACAGATCACATAAAATTTTCTTTAAATTCTCAATGTCAAATAGTTTTTTTTACTCCTATACTGTGATCAAAATATGTTTCTGAAAATATTAGACCAAAAAAAAAATTGTTTTTTAAAGTTATAAACAATTTAAATTTTTAGCTTAAATAAATAAAAAAAATTTCTCGAAATTGAGTTGCGAAAAATAAAAAAAGGGTTTTTTTCGCCTTGGAATGTGGTATTTTGTTTTAAATAAATTGCTATTTTAAATAGTTTTTTTAATTGTTTATTAATTATAAAATATTATTACTTACTCAATTATTTTGCATAAATAATAGTTTCATAATTATTTAATTAAAGTTACTTGTCAATTAACTTTTTTCCAGTTTAGTTTAATTTTTTTTTTTTTTTTTGTTTAAGCTTTTATATAATCAGAAATGTATGTGAAATGTGAAATAATTTTTTTACATGAAACATGAAGAACACTGTTTTTTTTTATTAATAGTTTTTAAATAAACAATTTTCGAAAACTGTTTATAATAAAAATTTTGTTTAAAACAAAAATTATTTTTAAATACTTCGTTCAAAGACACGTGAAAAACTAATTTTTGTTTTTTTTTTTTTTTTTTTTGTAAACTTGATATAGAGAAATTTTTTTTTTTTACTTAATACAGCTAAAAATTTTAATTGTAAAAATATTAAAAATTTCAATTTTAATTTTTGTTTGTTCTAATATTTTCAGAAATTTATTTTGATCACAGTAGGAGTAAAAAAAAACATTTAATTTTTTTGAATTTTAGGTGATACATTTGAGAATTTCTGACCCAATTCCAAAAATTATGTAAAAAAATTTTTAAATTCAGTAAACTAAAAAAGAAATTTATTTGATTCAAATAATCGATTACTTGACTACTATTATCAAATAAATATATTTACTTGAAGCAAATAATTTTTATTTAGAATTAAATAAACTATATTTGTGAACCAATAATTTCTGTAATTGGGCCAATAATTTCGGTATTTGGATCAATAATTTCTGTATTTGAACAAATAATTTCTATATTTGAAGCAAATATATACCATTCATTTGGTTCAAAACCCACTTGGAAAGATTCCCCGGAAAGTGCCCCATGGAGGTTCTATCAGAATTTCGCCGGAAATTTCAACGTAATTCCGTCGGAATTCCATAGAAGTTCCAAAGAATTTCCGATGGGATTCCGACGGAATTCTGACGGCATTCCGATGGAATTAGGACTCTAAAATTTTTGAAAAAAATTAATCGGAATTTCGTCGGAATCCCATAGGAAATTCTTTGGAATTCCGATGGAATTCCGACGGAATTACATTGGAAGTTCCGGCGGAATTCTGATAGAATCTCCAGGGGGCACTTTCCGGGGAATCTTTCCAAGTGGGAAATAATAATTATTAAATAGAAATTTAATTTACAATTTAATAATTAAATTATCATTTAATTAATTATTTAATACAAATTACAATTTAATAATTAAATTATTATTTAGTTAATTATTTAATACAAATACAATTTAATGGACTCCAAATAATAAATTACTTAATATAAATAAATAAATTTATTTAATAATAGTAAAGTAACCGATTATTATTTGTAACGAATACATTTTTTTTTTGTCAGTGATATGAAAAAAGAATAAGAGGTATTTTTCATATTACACATCACAGCTATTTGATAAAAATGATCGAGAGTTTTGAAAGGAATAATTTGCCAAGTGACAATAATTTCACAATATAAATGTAAAAATATGCGTGTCCTATTATTTTATTTTTTTTTAATATTACTTTTATTCAACTTTTTTTTTCTTTCTTTTCTTTTTTTTTTTTTTTTTTTTGATTTGCGGTACAATAGAGAGTGGTGGGAATATTGAGTTTGGCTGTTTCATATATATGGGAAAGTGGAAATGGAAACTTCTATATTGGGAATATGCGAAGGAAAAGTGGATCGAGCCTGAGCATCTCACTCCCGTTGAGAAATATTGAATTTTCCATATATGAACCTGACAAAGCAATGCGACCTTTAACACCTACAATGAACAAGTTCTGTTTGACTATATATATGTATATAATATTATAAAACTGTAAACCTTACATATAAAAAATGGTGATTTACTTTAAAAATTTTCTTTTCCAAAATTCAAAGAATTGACAATTTCTATTATAATAATAATTTTCATTTGTTTATGATAATATAACAATAAAAATCATCAAGTTTGACGAAGAATAATGGGGATTTGTGTTCGTGAAAAAAAAAAGAAAAAATCTGGATTGAATCTGGTTCGATGGTACTGAAAATTTGATGAAAAATCACGTTAGATAGGAAATCTCAAGGCTGAGGGCAGGTTTTATCTTTCCCATAAATTTTCTGACCCTCCAAAAAAAAGTTACTGATTCGAGAAACAAAAAAAGTATATCTTTCAATATTATTGCAATTGTATTTTTGTGTAAATTTTTTCTTTATTTATACATAATATATATATATATGAGAGAACATATGTTTTTTTAACCTTTAAACTGCTATATCGGACTGCCAGACCTGTAAATATTTTTCATTTATTACTTTTTTTAATGTACAATAGAAACTTCAATATTTCATGAATATAATTTTTTGTTCTTTTTATTTTTATATATATAATTAAATATAAAATTTTATTTTACTTTTTTTCTACGCAATTTGACGCAAAATTGTCTACATCCGGCTTAATGTAAAAAAAATTCTAGATTAACCATTAAAATGCTGCTAAATATTTTTCGTTTATTATTTTTTTTTAATGACCATAGAAATTTTTAGTTTCATATTTTATGAAAATGTCGTATATAACGGTCTCTGTAATACCGGCATTAGTCGGTAAATTCTTATATAAGTAACTTCTGCGCATTTTTGTGCGCAATTAGTTCTGTCATATTTCAATTATTTATAAAAATAAAATAATTTTTTAATGTAAAAAAAATAAAACTTTAGTTGTCATTATATAATTTAGAAGTAATTAAATATAATTTAAAATCATTAGAAAAATATAAAAAAGGAATGACGGTCTGACAGACCGAGATTAGTACTCGCGTCATTTTTTAGCAGTTTAAAGGTTAAAATAATTTCCAAATATTTTATTTTTTGAAATAAATGATATAGGATATATAACGAAATAGGATGCCGTTACACAATTTAAAATCACTGAAATATAATTCAGAAATGGCGGTCAGCCAGACCGAGAGTAGTACTAGCGTCATAACCTAATAGCAGTTTAAAAGTAAAAATAATTTTTTTTCCCAAAACAAATAATGTAGAATATATAACGAAATAGGATAAGTCATTGCATAAATTAAAATGACTAGCAAAGTATAAAAAATTAATGGCGGTCTGACAGACCAAGAATAGTAATAGCGTCCTTTTTTAGCACCTAGCAGCAGTAAAGAAAAAATAAAAACATATACTACAGATATTATTATATAATTTAAAATCATTAAATAAAATAGAATAAAGAAATGACGGTCTCTAAGACCGAGAATAGTATTAGCGTCATTTTTTGGCACCAAAAACCAGTTTGAAGATTAAAATAATTTTTTTCCTGAAAATAATAATGCAGGATATATAACGAAATAGGATAAGTCATTACATAAATTAAAATGACTAGCAAAGTATAAAAAATTAATTGCGGTCTGACAGACCGAGAATAGTAATAGCGTCCTTTTTTAGCATCTAGCAGCAGTAAAAAAAATACATAATACTACAGTTATTTTTATATAATTTAAAATCACTAAAATATAATAAAGAAATAACGGTCTGTCAGACCGAGAGTAGTAATAGCGTCATTTTTTAGCACCTATTAGCAGTTTAAAAATAAAAATAATTTTTTTTCTAAAAAATGGATATATAACGAAATAGGATAAGTCTCCCAAGCTAAAACATTTTATAGAGAGAGAGAGAGAGGGAGAGAGAGTGAGAGACAGAGGGATGATAAGGTAAAAGCGATGTGGTTAACAAAAGGAAACACTTTGTCCAAGTTTCTGATCTAATTAACAGTGTTTGGAAATAATTTATCAAAGTGTGTGTGTGTGTCTATGTGTCTGTAGAACTTTGAATTGCGGTAACTACTTTAGCGAATTTGTCTACACATCCGGTGCGATAAGTACATATATGATGATTTAGATTTAACGCAAACTTTCATTTTTTTCCATATACTTTCCAGATTAAAATAATATATAAAAGTTTTTCACCAAAAAAATAAAAAAAAAAAATTTTTTTCTAAAAAGAATCAAAATCAAAAATGTTAGTAACCGAGAAAATCTTCCTTCTAAAAAAAATGCAGATTTTGGATAAAATAAATACACTTTTTTTGAGTTAGTTTGTTGAGGATTTTAGAGAAATCCTTTTTCGGTATGGCATTAATCTCAGTTGGTAAATATACCTAAATGCTTCCCTTGGTTCCTAAACAGTGGATATATATATACTTAATAACGTTAGGACAAACTTTGGTTGATAACAGCGAGGGATGTATTATCGTGAATTATGCTACACCTTTAGAATTATCGTGATATGAGAGGATGGGAAAGAGTTGATCAAGCGAAAGTGCGGGAAACACCAAAGTGATGAGACAGCATTTTGTCATGTTAATGCGAAAAGAGTGAAACGAAATTTCTTCATTCTAGGTCACCGACGTGATTTATTGCATCACAATTTTTTGAAATCTCCTTCACCTCTAAAGGGGATTTTTTTTTCTTTCTTTTTTTTTTTTATCAAGGATTGAAATAAATGTTGTTGCTTTATTTCTGATAAAAAAAAGGAGAAAAAATCGTCGATATATGAAGGAAAATAAATAAATTAAAGTAACGTAATATTAAAATATACATTTTTAATTAAACAATTATATTTTATTAAAATATTAATATTCATATTAAATTTAAATATTTAATTTTAATATTTATTAAAAATAATATTTAATATTATAATAATATAATAAGTTTAATAATATTTTTTCTTAATATTAATTAATTATTAATTAATAATAATAATATTTAATAATATATTTGTTTTTCAATAAATTAGAGTTAGAGTCTCCGCTCTTATATAGTATTCAAGACTGATCTCAACTGTAGGAGAAAAAACTCTCACCATCTGGCGGCGTAAGTGTGGAACTATGATAATATTGTATGGGAGTTTTCATAGTTCCACAGTTACGCCGCCAGGTGGTGAGAGTTTTTTCTCCTACAGTTGAGATCAGTCTTGAATACTATATAAGAGCGGAGACCCAACTCAAAAAACTTAATTCAAACACAAGTTTTTTTTCAGAATAATTGTAGTAAGGGAAATTATTGTTTATACTTTTTTAATTAAACATGTATTATAATTAATTAATTACAATTATTAATGTAGTAGTAATATTAATATTATTAAAATATTAATTACTGTTAATTAATTATACTTTTACAATTAAACATTAGTTGTAATTAATTAATTTTAATGATTAATAATTAATGTTTAGTTATAAAAATATAGTTAATGTTGGTTTTTAAATTAATTTCTAAAATATAAAGCAAGCAAAAAAAAAAAAATGGACAATTATTATTTGTATTTTGGATTTTTCTTACTTTGAGTAAGCCGTACACAAGCAGAAAGCAGCAAAAGAATCCGCAGGATGAGGAGATCATCAAAGCGATGCTGAGTTTTAGTGCAGCTGAAAGAAATTTACTAAAATAGAATGAAAATAATGGAAAAAACATTTTTTTTACTTACTTGGTGACATAAAGTCAGGCTCTAAGAAACTGGGTGATTTCGGTTGTAAAGTTTCACCAGCAAAATATTGACTCTCCTCATAAAGCATTAATCCCAAAATTCCTATTAGCATTATATTGTAGATCTGAAAATCATAAAAGAATTTTTTATTATATGTGTGTACGATAAATTATAATAAAATAATATAATATTAATAATTGAATTTTTTATGTTTACAAATAAAAAAAAAATTGATTTAGAAAAAAAATTCTTTTTTGGATTTCGGTACATTTTAATCAACCAGTATTTGGCAAATTGCTATTGGAGGACAAAAACAATGGGATATATATATATATATATATATATAATATAAAATAGTAATTCCAATAATTAGACGTTAATGTAGTGTGAATATTATACGTACTCCAATTCTTCTCAGTTCTCTGCGCTTAGATTCGAGTTTTCAATCGGAAAAGTTTTATTCGACTGGGAATGTAAATTACGTTTATAAAAGCGAATTTTGTATGAATACAGAAATCCAACCATTTAGTTTAATACTTTTTTTTATTATATATTTTTTTGTTAGAATTAGTGGGTCTATTAAAGAGATTTATTTTCAAGTTACTTTGATGCTTTGAATCTCTACTTTTATTTAGTCAAAGCACACACACACACACACACATGCACATTTACTGAATTTTATTTTCAAATAATATAAATTTATTCAGGAAAAATGTTCCACTATAATATATACTGAATTTTTTCTGTTGATTTCTCATTACGAATCTCTTTAAATTTAATTAATCAAAGCGTATATAAACATTTTCTATGTATTTTTAAAAATACATTTATTTCGAGAAAATTGAATTTTAAATTTTTCTTGTTGATTTATCATTTTCTTATATATATATATATATATATATGATTTTTTTTAAAATATAATTTTTAAAATTGTAATATCTTTATTGTTTTCTGTTTTAAATTTTATTTATATTTCTTTTTTGATAAAAAAGAAATTTTTTTTTTTGGCTTTCGATCCTTGTTAATTAAACGTAAAATTATTTACTGATTTTTATTGATGACTATAATGACTATACAATATTTCAATAATATAAAAATTTCAAATAAAAATTCAATGAAATTTTCGTGATTTCGATTTCTACTGAGAACTAAATTGTCAAAGTAAAATGTTGGAATGTTGAGGAAATTGAAACCTCCCCCAATTTGAAATGACATTGATATTGAATTTCACTTTTTTTTTGATAAATTTTTATCATTCATCTTTTTATAAAATATTTGCAATTTCAATATCTATAAAGGGGTTGCAGTGGTTTAAATTAATATTTAAATCAAAATCATTTACATTAAAATTTTTTAATCAATAAAAAAAAAATTTTAACATTTAGAAAATTTTTTTTTATTAAACAAAGTAATAATTATTTATTACTTATTATTAATAATATTAATAGTAATAATAATAATTATAATAATAATATATTATTATTATTATTATTATTATTATATAATAATTATATAATAATTATTATTATTAGTTTTTACACTTAAATTTTTTAAACATTTTTTTATAATAAAAATTAAAAACTTTTTTTTGAATGTAAATAAATAAAAAAAATTAGATTTAAGTAAACAAATTCGGATTAAAAAAAAATCATGACTTTTATCAGCCCTCTTTTATATATTCAGAAATTAAATTCTGTATTTGAAATTGCGTTTTTCATATGTACTATTTTATGTGTGCTATATCCTATTTTAAAATTCTTTCTTTCATAATTTAGATATACGCTTTTAGCTCTTCCTCTGATACATTTTTTTTCACCCTATTCATCTTATTTCTTATAAAGTTTATAACAGTGTTCCACTTTATACGTAACCAGAAACCCTGCTCAAATGAGCAGTAAGTTTAGAACACATGAATATTACATAGCTTCTGTATAAATCAAAGGTCCTGCAGCTTCTATGTCGTTAAACTTATTACTAGTTCTCCAGTCATTTTGCCTATATATATATATATATATATATATATATATATATATATATATATATATATATATATATATATATATGTGACACACATAATAAATGTATACAAATCAAATCAATTATTTATTATAGTAATTAATAGTTTTCAAAATAATATTTTTATAATAATAATTAATTTTGAAACTATATTAATTTTATTACAATAAAATTAATTTTTAAAATATTATTTTTATTATATGATAAAATTAATTTGGAAAATACTATTTTTGCTTAATATTAATTAATTAATAATGGTACTTAATAATATATGTATTTGTTTTGCAATAAATTAGAGTTAGAGTCTCCGCTCTTATATAGTATTCAAGACTGATCTCAACTGTAGGAGAAAAAACTCTCACCACCTGGCGGCGTAAGTGTGGAACTATGATAATATTGTATGGGAGTTTTCATAGTTCCACAGTTACGCCGCCAGGTGGTGAGAGTTTTTTCTCCTACAGTTGAGATCAGTCTTGAATACTATATAAGAGCGAAGACCCAACTCAAAAAACTTAATTCAAACACAAGTTTTTTTTCAGAATAATTGTAGTAAGGGAAATTATTGTTTATAATTTTTTAATTAAACATTAATTTTGATTAATTATAATAATTAATAGTTTTGAAAATATTATTTTTATAGTAATAATTAATTTCGAAACTATATTAATTTTATTATAATAAAATTAATTTTTAGAATATTATTTCTATTCTAATAATAATTAAAATTTATTATTAATTAATTAATAGTCTAATTTTGAAACGAATTTTGAAAATATTTTTATTATATGATAAATAATTTGGAAAATATTCTTTTTATTTTAAAAATATTTGTAATTAAATTAAAAAGTAAAGATATAGAAAATATTTCAATTAATAAATTCTTTACGGTAAAAATTATTTGAATCAATATCAATACTAGAAAATCAAAAACACAAACAATCTTTGATAAAGTTTAACAAAAAAAAAAGAAAAGAGAATCGGGTCGACTTTCTTCCTATTTCATTTGTTCTTTTACTTTTTTTTGATTTTTTTTCTTTTTTGTTACGAAATAAATGAAATGATTTAAAACAAAAAAGATGTTGTTTTAACTATTTTTAGTAGTTTTTTTTGTGGTTCACGTAATTTATCTACTTTTTCAGAAACAAGAATAATAACAAAAACTGTGTTCGTTAGTAACCAGTCATATATAACCCTTATAAACTTGATTGATTCTATATTTCTGGTCTCGTTTTCATCCCTCACTCTGGTAGAATACGAAATTAGTCTAGAATTGAGTTTTCTCTATTCTTAAAATAGTTATTATCTTGTCATATATATACATACCTATATACAGGGTGATTTTTATGTTCCCGGACCATTTAATAATTTTTTTTTAATTCTATTATAATATTTTTTAGTTTAGTTTTTATATTTTATAATTTTCAATTTTATTATTTTATGTATAATTTTATTATAATTTTATTTATAATTTTTAGACGTTTTTAACTTTAATAAATGTAGATTTTTTTCTGCAATAAAAATTGCAATTTTGCAATAAAAAAGAAAAATGTTTGCAAAAAATATTTTTTATTAGCAAAATTTAGTGTATTTATTTATTTATTTTTTTTTTTTAAGAAGCATTAAAGTTGCCATTTATCCGCATTGGTAATCAAGATTCAATTCCAACGTAACAATTGAATTTAAGTGGAAAAGGGCCGTAAAGCAGTTTCTTTCACTTAAATAGACATTTTTGAATTTCATGAAATCGTTTTTAAAAGAATGAAACTGTTACATTTCAAGCATATATTATAAATATGTGTGTCAGTTAAAACATTTAAGAAAATGAAAAAAGTACAATGAAAATAGAAATTCTTGTTTTTTTAAATAAATGTTTAAAAATATATGAACAATTTTTTTATTTAATTAAATAAATTTTATAATAATTATTATTACTAATTATTTATTATTCTCAATTATTAATTATTATCAATTATTAATTACGTATTATAAAAAATAATTTAATAACAATAGTAATTGAATAAAATTTTAAATTTTGAAGAACTATTTTAAGATATTGAAGACATTGAAGATAAAGAAGATTGTATAAAAAATAGTTGCGGATTAAATTGTATTAGAACAGATTTAAAGAAAATCCTTTAGATGGGGGAATAACTCCCTTTTCTACTCACAATATATAACCTAATATATATATATATATAGGTATATTTAATAAAAAAAGATCAAAGTAATCAGAATCCTAGATTACAAATGATATTACGTAATAAGTCATTTTCCTTATAGAAATATCATTACAGCTTGTTACATAATTTTCTGTAATTATTGGAGTAATAATAATAAAAATAGTCACTTTTTTTTTAATAATTTCAAACGTACTTTTCTTGGAAAATTATTATGTATGATTAATTTGTTGAACAAACTAAATAAATAATAATAAAATAATAATAATAATAATTAAAAAATAATAAAATAACAAGAATAAAAAAAAAAAATAAAATAATAATAATAATAATTCTTTTCTGTTACCGTTTATAGAAAAATAAATAAATTTTCAGTTTGACTTATTTTGAGAGAAATTGGTTTTTCAATAAAATTTGAACGAGAATAATTTGAAAATTAAAGCTCTTAAATAGAAAAAAGAAAGTATTGATTAAATTCTTTTATAGGATACGATTACAGAGTAATAGACATTCTAATCGGAAAAAAACAGAAACTGTTTTGATTTTATTAAAGAATGTATACTGTTATTTTTCTAATAGGATATAATAGGCAAAATTTATAAACTAATGTTTTAATATTTTATGGTTTAAAAAATAGGAAATATATTCCTTATATAATAATTAATTTTCTATATAATAGCGCAATATCGAATATTTTATTATATTTTTAATTATATAATTACGTTCTAGTTTTAATTTTATATACTTTTTTTTTATAATCAGAAGTAATTTTCATTACGTTTAAAATATTTATTTATTTAATTATTATTTATTAATTTAAGTTATTATTTAAAATATATTTGAAAAATAATAATTTATATCAATATAAAAAATATAAATTTATATATATATATATAAAAAAATGTAAAATATAAAAAACTATAAATATGAA